AGTTAAATTACTTCATAAATTAGTTTATATTTAGGTTTCTAAATCTAGATTCTTCTTACCATTTTTTACTTCAATCAAATTAGTAGATATTGTGAAATTTAAAAAAATCCTTACTAACCTTAAATTTCAATTATTCAAGACCATAATCTACAAAAATTCTTATAATTGTCAATCTAATTAGTCAATTAATATCAAATTCTTCAAACACATTCAAGAAAAATATAATTACAAAATAAAAAAAAAAAAAATTATAAATATGATACAAAAAATACAAAATCTTCAAATTTGTGAATGTCTTTTTATTTCTTAAAATCTAAATCTATTGAATACATCTCTCACTTTGAAAAGCCTTCAAGACATTAATATGCCTTCAAATCATATGAAATAAACTTTCAAAAACCCTCTTACAAGTCTACTCTTAAATCTCACTCTTTGATCAACCAAAAAATTGTGGAGTTATCATAGGTACATGGTTTTGTATCTTAGGGTCTGATTTTGACCTTAGTTCACAACCAATCCTCTCTAGACATCAATTCTTTATATTTTGAGGTAATTTTTGCTAAAACCTATTCTTAATTTATTCCTAAAAATACATATATTAATTATTTATCTTATCTACTTTGATTTGGCTCACTTATGCCTTTACAAAGTAAGTAGAAGTGTCTTTTTTAAAAATGCAGTATTAACATTTATTAATTTTTACTACCTCCTTGTCTATTATCTATATTTTTAAGATAATTTATTAAAGTATTTTTATTTAAACTCTTCTATAATAGGATCATTTCTTTTCTCTTTCACCTTATATTCATGTCACCACACAACAACATTAGATTTAAAAGTATAAATTTATTTGAGACTTATCTTTCTTGATTTGCATCTTTCATAAAAAATAATTTATAATATCTATATAATCTAAATTTATTCTTAGAATTATTAAAAATCACATTTAATAAGAATAATTTTAAAAAAATAGCAAAAATAAAACTCTTGCTTTTATGATAGGACTCTTAATTAACTACCAACTATGTTGTCAAATTCTAAATCCTTTCTTTCAACATGGATTTAAATAATAAAGTCTTTATTAACCAATTTTTATGCACATTAAATGATTATATCAAAGATTTATTATTAAGAATGCTATAAATAATTCATTTGAATAATTTATTATTGAAGTCACTATATGCAAAAATCAATTCATTGAAAGGCATTAAGAATAAATACTTAATTGGAGAGAAGCAAATTAAGTCATAAAAACAACTCCTAAGTTTTTAGGAACTTATTTATCTAGATCAAAATCAATGCAAATTAATGCAACAAGTTTTAAACCTCTCATTGAGCAAAAAAAGACTTGACATTATTAAGAAAGATTGTGCTTCTATTGTGGATAACCTAAGTATAATTCTATATTATTCAAAATTCCTAATAGGAGCTTCTATCTTATTTGTAAAGAAAAAAGATAGATCACCATGGATATGTGTATATTATTGAAGATTCAATAAGAAAACTATCAATAATAGGTACCTTCTACATTTGATATTATAAATTTTTAATCAATTAAATCATACAAAGATCTATATCAAAATAAATCTATGAAAAAAAAAATACAACTTGGTATGCTTTAAAAAAAGAAATAAATAGAAGATTATATTTCAAAGTAGGTATTGTCATTTTGAATATAATTTCATGACTATTCGACTCAAAAATGCAACACTTGATTTTTAATATCTAATAAATAATATTTTTTTAGAATTTTTATATGATTTTTTTATTTGGTATTTAGAAAAAAATTTAATCTATTCTAATAATATAGACTTTATATATGTTGTGTATTACAGAATCTTAAGAATATAGAATTATATCCCAAGATAAAAAAAAGTGTGTATTTTATACAACTTAAGTTGATTTTTTAGGATATATTATCTCAAATGATGGCATTACAATAGATTCTAAGAAAGTTTAGACTATTATAGATAGAAAAATTTTAAGAATAATAAAAGACTTCTATTTTTTTTTGGAGAATTATCAATTATTATTAGATTTTTATCAAGAACATTATTTAAGTTGTAACTTCACTTACATACTTGACTTGTAAAGACAAATTTGAGTGGAATAAAAAAATGATATTTGAAGTTTTGAAGATAATTTTAATTATAATATTAATTTTTTATTGTGTTGATTTTTTCAAGGCATTTTTTATGGATATAGTTGTATCAAACTTCATCTTGAATGTGGTATTGTTATACATGAGAATAAGTGATATACTATAATTTGTAGCTTTCTATTTAAAAAAATATTTTAACATCCAAAATTAATTATTAAATCTTCAATAAAGAATATCTTGTAATTATAGATTTATTTTAAGAATGGTGCTATTATTTAAAAGTCGCTTCTAATTTTATAAAAATTTATATAAATCATAAAAATCTCAAATATTTTATTAAAGCTCATATTTTAAATCATAGTCAAGTTAGTTAAAACATTTCTATGCCAAGATTTGTATTCAATATCACATATTAGCAATAAAAACAATAAGGTTTGTCAAATATCTTTTTCAAGCATTTGCATCTTATATCAAAAAAAAAGATATATTTTTTTATTGGTAAGAAAAAATTCTTTTGAAGCCAAAGAAATTTTATCTTTAAACAATGAAATTAATATTGGTTGTTGATTTAATGATTTTTAATTATATTTAATCAAATATGTCTTTAAATTTTCTTATACATAGTATTAAGAATAATTCTTTTAAATCTTTTAATACTTATAAGTTTAAATTATAAATAATATTATATTTTCTTATTTTTAGAGATACTTATATATTCTAAAAATTAATATACAACTATGTACTCTCAAAGAATGATACAATTTTTTAACTAAAAAATATTTTGGATATAATAAGACATTGAAATTAGTCTCAAAAGATTTTTAGTAGCATCAAATATGGAAGGTAATTTAAGATTTTATATATTTATGTGGTATTTGTTTTTAAATAAAAAACTCCTTGCCAATGACCTTACATACTTTTTTAACTACTATCTATAGCACAACAACTATGATTATTTGTTTCTATAGATTTTATCATGGATCTTTTAATCTTAAGTTCTTATGATTTTATATATGTGATATTCAATTACATTACTACAATGATACACTTTGTATTATGTACTAAAATTATTATAAATAAAAAACAACTAGATTCTTTTTTGATAATATTTATTGCTATTATGGATTCTTAAAGAATATTATATTACATAGAAGGATTTAATCTAGATTTTAAAGAATTATTTTTAAGATACTAAAGGTGGATATAAAATTATCTTTGATCTTTTATCTTCAAATTAATAGAAAAATAAAGTGATTGAATCAAGAATTGAAATAATATTTGAAAAATATTTTCAATTGCTATCAAGATAGTTGGATAATTCTTTTGCCATTGATAAAGTTTGCAAATAATAACATGGTAAATTCTTCTACTTAATAATCACTTTTATATGCTAATTATGATTATCATTTATAACTTGATACTTTTGACTTCTCAAAAGTTGATAATCTTGTTGCAAAAGATTTGATAAATTATTTATTATAGCCACATGCAATAATAAAGGTACAAATAAGTGAAGCTCAAGAATAACAAAAGATCAATGCATATGTCTATTGTAAAGAACAATCTCAATTCTACATTAGCAATAAGATATAATTATTTTATTATAATATTAAAACTATTTTTTTCTTATAGCAAGTTAAATTATTGTAATCTTAAATTATTATTTATTAATAAAAAATAAATATAATTACATATTGATTATACTTACAAAAATCTATAAAGACCAATCTTGTATTATATGTATCTTTTTTTGAACCACTCAAGACATTGGATATACTAAAAAAAAGACAAATATCATCTTCTTTTATAAAAATAGACAACAATCAAGAGTTTGAGGTAGAAGAAGTCTAGAACTCAAAGCAATGCCAAAGTAGGTTAGAATATCTTGTACATTGGCACATATATGATATTAATGAATGCACATGAAAAATATCTATGATCTTGCAAATATAATAAAAAAATTGATGATTTTCATCAAAAACATCCATCAAAATAAAAAATATAAATGGAAGAAATTCTTCTATTTAAAAGAAGTTATGAAAGTTTCAACAATGATCAAATAATATGGTAGTCTTTCTACTTTAGTATAGAATACTTTTGATAGTTATAAGGACTTATCAAATATCTTTAAAAAGAAAAAATATTGAAATATATAGATACCATGATTTATTGCAATTTGGACTTCCTCATCATATAATCACCATTCCTTGTAGAACTTGTTCCTTAAAAGAAAGGTAACATCACAAACATCAATGTTGGCATTAATAATTTAAAAAATAATAAAATTAAATAAAATTAAACATAATTAAATTTCATAATATCTTGTAGAGAAGCTTCTTAAAAGCTTTGTAAATAGAATATTGACTTTATAAATATTTATGTGTAATTGATAGGTTGAAAACTTAGTCAATAAGTTGACTATATATTGCATATGTTGACCACTTGTAGAATAAGTTGGCCATATGGCATACATGTAGGAAAATTATCTTATAAGTTAGACAAATGTCTTGCAAGTTGGATATGTGATAGATGACCTATAGAACATTATAATGTAATTCTTTAATTATATAATATATATGGAGGTAAGAATGAAGCCTTCATCGTTCATGTCAATGAATTTCAAATATTTTTGTTTTAACTCATAAATCTCTAGTCTATCTATATTTGGAAACAGATTCCAGCTGAAAAGAATTCTTGGGATTTTGTCGTCCTTCGATTGTTAATGAGCCAATGGATAGACCCGAATGTTCCAGTGAGCTGTCCCAGGTATCAACTGACGCCACGTGAAACCCGTCGTATAGTCACGGGAACTGGAAGCGGCTGCGGGGCATGGAGTGGATTGAGAACCGGCGTTAGGGTTGAGCACCTTCAACCCCCGAGCCAAGCGGGGGTTTGTTATTTGTTCGGAGCCATCCTCGCTAAAGGTTTTGTGGTTTTGCCAAGCTTGTGCATCGTGGTGCTCCGGCATTGTTAACCTGTAGGAAGAGTTCGGGGTTTCGAAGGAGAAGCAATGATGCAGGCCACCAACAAGGCGGATGGAAATCCCATTCAGATGATCCAGCTCAAGGTGAAGAAGCTGGACAGTGACCTCAAGGTGTGGCTGAAGAAGCAGCCCGCTGCCGTGGAGGTGGTGTTGGTCACAGCCGGGAGCGCCGTTCAAGGTGGCGCTATCGGTGCGCTCATGGGCACATTCAGTTCGGATGTTGCCTCCACCATGCCCACTCCTCCGCCCGGACTCAACCCCGAGGCTGCTGCTTCGCTTCAGCAAGCCAAGGTAGGTTTTCACGGGATAGGGTTTGTGAATTTGATGCTGTTTGATTGCGATGAGGAAGTGGCGAAATGATTGAATCAAGTGCTAAGCGGCACGCTTGGAATTTCTGGCGAGTATTGGTCCTTTGAGCTTTAGTTGCATGATAAGGTTTTTACCCGCATTTTGGACATCTTCACGTGAATTGTACAGTTGTTGTTTTGTTTGCGAATTCTTTTGTGAATGAATTTCGGTTAGATACTCGTGAATATGTTGCAATTTAATTCATACAACGTTTGGTGTTTATTTATTTATTAAGTTGAACTATCCCACATGCCTGTATTTTAAGTTCAACGTTAGTGAATAAGTAGTATTTCACATCCAAACCATGAGTGAAACGTGCGCCGAAAGAGTGTAAATTATGAGAATTTAAGAGGGTTCGTGGTATTATTTGGCAGGCTTTTGCAGGTGGACCCTTGACGCAAGCACGGAATTTCGCTGTGATGACCGGTGTAAATGCAGGTATTACCTGCGCCATGAAGCGAGCACGTGGTGGTAAAGAAGATCTTCAAACAAGGTAATATTTATGTCGCGGTCACTTGATCCTCCACATGTCTGTATTTTTGGAAGCTATGTACATAGACAGGCAGCATCGAGTTGATTCGATTGAGGGGTCGTTTGAAATCTAATTAAGTCGTGACAAGAAAGTGTGTACTGGTGTATTGTCTCTGGAGTGCAGTGCTGTGGCCGCATTTGGTTCAGGTGCAGTGTTTTCAGCAGTGAGCGGAATGGGCGGCCCCAACGTGCTCGGCAATGCACTCACCACTGGGTTTTTCTTTGCCCTGGTTCAAGGGGGCTTATTTCAGGTAATAAATTGTACCTGTTGCGCGAGGTTAATTATCTTTGTAACGTTGGTTAGAGTTTTAGTAAGAAACAATTATTTAGTTGTTTGGTTTTCGTCATCATCCGACTGTCGATAAGGAACGATCCGCAGATATCTCTTTCTAAATTTGCTTCAGCTGCCGAACTAAGCGTTAGTTTATCATCTGGGAGCAAAAAGCGACGGAAGGTGATAGTGATTAATAAATTCATATTTTGCTGCACTACAGCTGGGTAAAAAGTTTGCCAAGACTCCTACTGAGGACAAAGACTATATGCGATCTAAGAGCATGCTGGAAAAGCTTAGTTTGCAAAAGTACGAAAAGAATTTCAAGAAGGGCATGCTCACGGACTCGACTCTTCATCTTTTAAATGACAGGTCTGTTACTGCTCCGTATTGTAATCGCTTCTATTATTCTTCCGGCCTGAAGTGAAGTTATTAGGTATGAAGATGCATGATGTGGAACAGTGATTTTCCTCACAATCAGTGCTTCATCTATAGATACTTGAGTCTTATATTAGTCGATTTTTTGCGGTGTTGTTTGTGCAGTTCGTTGAGAGACGTACAGATTCCCCCAGGGCCCAGGCTTCTGATTTTGGACCACTTGAAAAGGTGCGACTGCCATGACCCGTTACCACTGAATGATAAAAGCTTTATTCATATATAATCAGCTGCATTGGTAGTGTTGTGCTTCTCACTGCATGGTCCGTGCCTACACATTTGTGATTGGCTTGTTTTGACAATCCACGACGAATAGATGCATGGACTGAAACTGCCCTAAAGAAGTGCTATTCTACTGGAACATTCATGCCACTGCAACCACTCGCAGTTTGTGTGTTATTTCCAACTTTGACTCATAGAATTTGAAAATGTAACCAGTGGATGCTGCATTGCAGGTCAGAAGATGTCACAAAGAGATCCAGCTAGTGGCTATATGCCATGTTGTGTGTAGAATAGAGGGAGAATTTGTAACCTAACGTTTTCGACACATCGAACTAGTAACCGCACTCTGATTTGTGATGATAAGAGCTTATTTACCAGAAATTTTTCTTAGGTTGCCGTTTAGCTTGGAGCGGGGTGAACAAGTTCATGTTTTCCACAAGTCATATCAATGTGCAAAGCTTTTTCGCCTCTCTTTTTGGTTGGGAATTTGGGAGTATATTTCTTGTGACGCTCTTCAGACCAAAAGGTTGGGAACGTTCGTACACGTTGCTTTGTGAACATGAGTGTACCATCTGAGCCTCTGCTCATGGCTATTTGCGAAGGGGTTTCCATCTTCTGAGACGTAGTCACCGTGTTCTCCCTCTCAAATAAAGAAATACCTTTGACGGTTAAGGTTTACAACTTTCGCGGTTAAATTGCCATGGGACTGGATATATCAGTAATCTTGCAATCTTTACGACGAAAAGCTGTAGGGTACATCGGAGCTTTTTTACTTGAGGTAGTAAATTATGTTAATCAATTACTACAGAAATGCACATAATCAAGTTACTACAGAAATAGGCTGTTTCTTTTCGATGGGCACCTTGAACCTCAAATCATGAACTTACTGATTTTCAATGTTATCCACTCCACTGACAGGCTTCAATAAAGATGTTCATGGTCGGTGCCTCATTATCACATATTTTATATTGGTCAACAGTAAATTCAATTCGCATGACATAAGCTTTAAACTATTTTAAACCATATATTTTACTTCACTAAGAGTAGGACCAATCGGAACAGCATTCAACTGTAAGTTGCTTTATCCACCACCAAAACAGTATTAAGGTTACTGTTGAAAGTCTACGGATAGTCAATATTATCCCCCCAAAAACAAGATATTCTTTGTTAGGCAATTAAATTGTTAGTCATTATCCAGTTTGGTGACAATTCCAGGAAAACTGTGAGAGATTTCAGTGATCGTATCTCAGGTTCCTTGCATGCCTAACTACTAGATATAAAAAAGAAAAATCCAACACCACCCAGGGACCACATGATGCAGGCGAAGTGTGATGGAATTGTCACCAGATAACGCACAACTGAGATTAGAACCAGAGATTCATTTGAAGTCACCAACCAAGCTTCTATTGCACCTCATGCAACAGAGGCAGCTAAATGAACAGCAAGATTTAAGGCAAGACGGCGGAGAATCGGAGAGTCCTGAGCCCAAAAAGACGTGAGAGGGACGAGAATGCTGAAGTCCTGTCATATTTAGAAAAACAACTGGTAAAAGAATTCATAAACCCCTCGACAGTTCCATGATGGTGGGACACGTTTATGGTCCACGAGTGCGGCTGCTCAACTCTCGTAGTGTTGTAAAAGGTTTCTAAAAACATCGTGGATCTACTAGGCATCATTTTGCCTGCACATGTAGAAAATCATACACGCATAAGTTGAGCACTTCCGTCTACAAGACCACATACACACACACACAACACTTGTGTGTCGATGAGCCAGAATGACTTTCAAGTCATTGATATTTCTGTCCAAAACAAAATGTAAGGATTCGTCCATCAAACCTCAATCTCAAAAACAAAAGATTGCGTCATGTTTCTTAACGGAGAGAATAGCCTGTAATCACCAACTGTCACCACATTTCGAGCAAGACCGCTACCACAGCAAAACCATATTCGCATACTGTGGAGCAGCAGCCCAATTTCCTAAATAAGTAAATGGAAGGGCTCACATACCTGAACTAGAAATTGGTTACTTTTTGAGACTTGCAGAGAACATCGTGGTTTCGTACATTCATTAGCCACTCGCGCTAAACAACACGAGTGTGAGCTCGAACCAAGGTAACATCTCACCTACACAGCTGGCTTTTATATTCTGCTTGGAGTTCTGTACCAGCAACTTTGAATGCCACAACTTTCGAACCTCACATAGAGTCATGATTTGTAAGGACCGAAAGATCCCAAGCGCTACGGTATCCGTTCATGGAACACTTCGAAGTACACTTTCTGTTGTATCAATGCACTTTCTGTGACATCGAAGCTTGAACACGGCTCTGCGAGCTACGAAGCCATCACCAGCCATCAAGCCAAGGTGGATCATCTTCATCTGGTTGAAGATCAAATACTTGGTAGCTATCGTCCACGGGAAGGAAGTCGATGGCCAGCTGAAGGCGGGTCATGATCTCTGAAGGGACCTCAACACTGCAGTCAAGGAGCTTATCCCAGTTGACTCCCCGGAACCAGGGATGCCCCTTTATAGCAAGCGCTCCGTGACTGTCACAGCCCAACCTTTTGGTTGGATCCACTACAAGCAGCTGTTTTGGATGCGAGCACATCACCCCTTGTCGTGATTAGGTTCAATAGAAAACTATAATAACACAGGTCCATGAACTGACCTCAAATAAATCCAAATGATGCAATTTGATACAAAAGGAACGAATATACGAGTGCTACCTTGTCAATAAGGTCAGTCGCTTCGGCGCTAAAACTTGAAGGAAACGTAAGCTGTCGATGAGCTATCCTTCCGAAAACGTCCAGCTCATTGTCTCGCCATGACCCAAATGGAAGCTCCGTTTGTAACATGAAGTACATCAGCACACCCACAGCCCACCTGCGATTTTTGTAGGCTCTCACTTAGTACATGGAATCGTATCGTTTTATAGAATGCCCTCCTCATGTACATACGCCTCAAGTAATAACATCCCAATCATAATTTAATATACAACACAATAAAGCCTAAAAAAAACTACTTAGAATCAAGTTTGTGGATTACAAATTTTTGAAAGTTGACCAATGAAATCCGACAGCCTGTGGTGATAAGAAAATGATTAGTCACAAGGCACCAAGTGAAGCACCAGTCAGAAGCCAAGCCATGGCCTAGTCCTTGAATAACCTCAGGTGCTAAGAAATCAGCCATGCCGCAAACAGTGAAAGTGCGCTCATCGGACATTTTCTTTGAGAATCGAAAATCAATCAGCTGCAACCACAAAGCCTCATGAGTCACTTACCCCCATCATCCCTACGTAAATAAGGCTTTAATATGTTCAAACAGTTCACTGCAGAGAGATAATTCATCACCAACAGGAAGATGCACCACAAACCAGACATAAGCCACACTAGAACCGACATGTCGTGACAAGCCTACCTGAAGACGGCCTTTCCGGTCAATCACAAGAACATCAGGTGATATGCCACGGTAAACGACACCATCCTGCACTCCCATATATTAGAACATGGTAAGCTGTCAACAACAAAGAGTTATCTATGAAAGCGAAGATGGATTCACCTAACAACTAAAAAGTTGGAAATGAAGAAATGGGATAGTTCTTCAAATATTTATCTGTGCAATTGTATCTTCAGACTGTCTATGACATACCTTAGAAAGGATTGCATCAACATCACGCAAGACCAATGGCTTAATGAGGGTCATCTAAGTAACAAAGAAATCCCATGCACCTTATGCAGAAGCTCGATGGCCAATACCACATTAGCCACTAGATAGCGAGCTGAGTTCTCGTCCAGAGGTGAACGCAGAAGAAGATCTAGAGGTCCAGCTAACACACAATTCAAAACAAGCGCCACACTATCGCTGTCGATGGGAGTGGCCAAGAGATGCGGCACAAATGGAGATGGCCTAAGCTGCTTAAAAAGAGATCTCTCCAGTAGGACTTGGCCTTCCCGACCAAGTCTCTGAACCTTCCGTCTTTGGTACCTCTTCATGCTTACGATGTCATCTGCATTCATTCAGCGTCCAATGATTGTGAAAACAATACATGAAGTGAACCTGTGGTTTGTGGACATACAGTATTATATTCATTCCTAGCATGTTTAGCTCATGTGCTTAAGCTCCCATATGCTTGGCCAATATCATGTTTCGACCGAGAAATTGCACCTATTAATATTTACTTAATTTTCTTGATAAAAAAAAATGTAAATCGAAGTGAAGAGTGAAAGATACTTGAAGGATTCAATCACTTCTCACACTAGTTGAGAGTTCTCAAGAAAGAGCAATGGAGATATGAGAACCGGTGTCACATGAAACATTTTTGTAACAAGACAATAACGAAGTATAAGACTTCTACATTGGTTGTTATCTTTAAAATCCCACCTGATTTTCTGCAAAAAACCACTCCAACTTCGCAACAATCGGTTGAATATACAGTTTCCTGCCAGTCCTGAGAAAGGCACTGATTTTGTTAGCGCATATCCTCTTTCATTCTATCTTTACAATGCGGAATCAGGTCGCAAAAAAGCGAGGAAATGCCGAGAGTCCGATCATTGAAGTTAACGCTATGATTTTTCAGAAGATGAAACTCTGTGTCAAGCTCTGCTGATATACTATAGTAACTCAACGAACATGTGCTAAACTAACAGTTACTATTATCTCAAACAACACACACTAATTAAATCATTTGTCAATAGGGTCAAAGAACACACCAGATCCTTCAGCGTAATCCTCTTAAAAGCATATGCATCCACCTCCGCAAGTTGGAGTCTACGGACCTGGGACATTTTCTCCATATACCTGCCAAAACCACATAATCCAGTTTATTCAAGAAAGCTAGTTGTATAAGAAGATTAATGATATCATGCAAGACCAACTAAACGCAAGTACACAAAAACCCTCATCACAAATCGATCGCAAAACTGGTGGGGACGACACGCTTACCTTTCATCTTCCTTGAGGATTAAACTTAGAGGACCAACGGCATTTTCAAACGCTTGCTGAGTAATACACCAACATTCCACATCAGTGGTAGCTACTACAGTGATGGGTTTTGCGGGCATATTTGTAAGCACCCAATCACCGAAAAACTTCACTCGGGGTGGATCTTGCGGATCGTTATCACCGCGGTCAATAAAAGCACATCTTTCTCCAGTCCACTCTAAGCTTGCCCTGGGCAACTGAAACTCCGCAGCATCATTATTCTCACCATCATGGTAGATTATATCCACATCGCCTCGGTTGGTAATATAGAGTGCATCAATCTTCTGATCCTATGATAGTCACAGGCAAGAGCATAGCAATTAATTAGGTTTAACCATTCTCGTGACGAAAGAAGATTGCTGAATCTGATTGTTTCCACACCCACTACAGGAGTAACAACCATACTGTTTCACTAAAGAAGAGCAGCTTAAATGACATTGATGCAAAACGAGTTCGAGAGAACCAATATTTGCGGTTATGCCTGAAGCCACGAAAGAACTAAACCTAAAAGCACTCACCTTCTCCACGATGACTTGACCTGCCTGAAACGTGACTTCAGTCAAGGCTTCAGACAAACTCTGCAGATGTGACAAAGACAACTTAGAAAAGATCTCCAAGGATCGTAAGATCATCAGCAGCGGTCGTTGCATGTATTGCATCAAGAGGGCTCCTCGAAAGGCTTCACGCTCCAGAACCCACAGACTACCGTTTGTTGCTGCCCGCACCGTTGCCTGACCTGGTTTATTATACCTGAAAAACGACAAACCTTAATGCGGTCAGGGTTACTAAATACAGGTACTTGATTTGGTGATATACTCGAAGTAAAGTACTCGAAACTGCTTATTCGGGATCACAAACTAGTCTGGCTGCGAATTTTTCAACTACAATCGCCTGAACTGTGTGTCACTACATGCATGTTCCGTCGTACTGTGAGGAATATCCTTGGTGATCAACATTTTCGAGGTATTTAAGATTTTAATTTCAGTTAAGGATCCACAGGGCTCATTTACAATCAAGTTGATTGTTATCGTGCTGGGCTACAGATAATGTTCAATCTGCTAAATTAGAACTGCAGAATTACGCCGAGAAATTAAACAAGAGTTTCTAGATCAGAAATTCTGGACAATAGGTGTGCCCTCATCTAAGAGTCAGTAGGGATACAAGGTTAAAAATTTCTGCTTGCGAGAGACTAGGGATATGAAAGTTACAGAAGTGCAAGCTCTCCAAAGCAGGGATTTGAGTCCGCAGTATACAGATGAACAACCTTCCCCGGGTCTTGAGCAGAACCAGTTCCAGTCTGGGATACATAACAATATCTGGCATCTTAGTGTCCACGATGTGAGAATCGGAAAAAACCTAACATGAACATTTCATACTGAGTTATACTGTGTTTATGTTCACGTCACCAGCCAGCCACCTTGGTATGATGCCTGATGCAATATTTATAAAAATGCGATTTGTGTATTTCCCTTAATATGTCATCCGTCCCACAAGAAGGTGTTCAGACTGAAACAAGCAACACACTAACGAAGGAGTGCTCGTTGTGAACCTGAGAAAATGAAGCTTCAAATTCACCAGATTCTACAATGTAGAATAGGTCGCTCTCAAAACCCTGAAGGACACGACCCGCCCACCAGGTAAGAATAATGAAAATAATCAGTAGTAAGATTTTACCAGAGTAAACATTTTAATGCTTGAGAATCGTGTGAAGATCATTACCTGCCGTATTATAATATCGCCGGCATTAACTTCCACCGAATCCATGCAACTAATGAGCGTCTGCCGTTGCTTCTCTGTCAATCCTTCAAATAAGAAGTTTCCCTGAAGTGCCTGCTTAATTTGTGCCTGCATTCAGAATCGAAGTATATAAGCAAATTCGCTTTGCCTCCTAAAGAAATATTCTACACAACCTTACTCACTAAATGTGCCTTCCATAACACGGATGAATATTCCTACATGTTCGATTCGGAACTGACACCAAGAATAAGGCCCAACCCCAAATTGGAACATTTTGGATGAAAATGAAATGATGACCTGATCCTAAAATGCTTCAAGAACTAGCGAAATCTAGGATGACATCTCCTTCACCAAGACAACCCCTACAACCCCTACAACTCTGAAAGAAGTATTCGCAACTGACATCGTTGTATTGCATAATCTTTCATAAAGATTAATAGTAAGGTAGGAAATACCTCTTCTTCTGGAGTTTTTACACGAGGATTGGTCGAGGGCAACCACGGTTCGCCTAGATCCAAAGAAGCTTCAATAGCACGAGCTCGTGCCCTTGAAAAATCACTGCGAACGGGCCGATTGCCCTTGAATGCATCTCTAGAAACTCGGCCAGGAGACTTGACTCCAGGTGACTTAAGTGGCCGTACGGGTGAATCTCTGTAATATGACTCCATTGCAATGTGATCCTGATTACAGAGAGTCCAATGGACTACATGAGCAATGTACACAACTGCAAGTCTAGTATCATCACTGACACAGTTATCAAAAGTAAATGGGCTCGAAGGACTACCCTACCATAGCGTAATCCGTACTAATCAGTCCAGGCCTTTCAAGATATCAACATCACTGTTGTGTACGTAAAAATTAGAAAGATGGCCAAAAGAATGAAACAAAATACAGAGACTGAATACTGCACCCATTACAACACTCACATTTTACATAAATGGCTGGCAATAAGGGTTCAAGAAAGAGACATACGTCATCGAGGTTTTGAATGTGTACAACAATGATTGTGATATCGTCAGTGCGAGTTTCGTATTGGAGCCACAGCCGATATGATTCTGCCACGATTGCTGCACAAGCTTCCTTTGGATCGCTGCACTTGGCAACCTGTTTCAACAAGTGAAAAAGTGGAAGTGGCTCAATACAGTGCATCGCACCCCTGCCGCAGTAACTGTCTGTCTTTAAGACTAGCGCCTCCCAAATAGCATATTTAAAGAGGCACTGCTCTCGAACTAGGTTATTCACAGGAATCACAAGTTGGCGGCACCATTATTTCTGTGGAAAGGACATACCACATGTAAATTCAACTCCATGCTGAGGATTAAGAAGCAAATTGTTCAATGGATTCACCACCATTTTGAGATCGAGGTTGGAAAAACTAACAGAATGGCCCCTAACATCGCCTGTCTTGTAACGATCGAGTTGATGCACCCGACACAGGAAGAACCAATTTTCAAAAACTATGCTCTCATGAGAATATTCCACATACATCAAATCCAACAATCAGTCATGTCGCAAAAACTGCCAGACCACGACGAGTTCTGAAGCTTTTCGCAAAACAGGCAATATTACTGCATCAGAGAATAGTAAGGAAGCTGCTCGCACCATGTCAACAACAGTTTGGCTGTTTATAAACTCGAATACACCATCACTGGCTACGACAAAGAATGGGTGCTGCGGCGTGAGGTCGACGACGAGGACCTCCGGCACTGCAATAACGCCAATTTCCTCCGCAGCAGAGTCGCCTAAACTTCGTGTGAAAGCTGTTCCTGGATACATGCCATTTTGCACCCACAACCGTGGAGGATCACCGTCGTCGTCATCCTCCCCACCCCAACACCTAACATCAGGATTCTTTAACCCTTCCAACTGGTCGAGGGTCATAATCCGAGCACCACAAGCCTTGACCCGCGCGCATTCATCATCCCGAAAGGGAGTCTGGTCAGTGGAAAGATCGACGGCCACGAGATTCTTGCCTCTTCTCTCTGCAATTACAGCTCGTGAATCGCCCACATTGGCCACATACATCGTCCGACCTCTCACTAGCACTGTTACAGCCGTCGTGCCACTCATAGCGTCATCCACACTGTCGCGATGCAGTTGTATGTTGGTGGTTAAAAATGCCTCGTGATATGCTTGTACAGGGTCAGTGAGGTAGTGTCGGTTGTGTAACAAATTTTCACACAAGTTTCTTTTCACAAACTGGGAGCACTGTGTCCCAAACTCACCATGGCCATCAAACACTCCAAAGAAATGGTCGTCCGGGTTCTCACCAAATACTGTGTGGGCGCAGAAACTGTCCTGATTCGCCTTGTCAAGCGCTTCTGGATAGTAGCCCCGTTGCGTCAAGTATGAGAATCGCAGCTCATAGTCGCCATCTGGAACTCTTACAACCCGAGAACCACTGGCAGGAAGATACTGGTCGGCTATTCGAGAGAGACGAGAAATTCCAAGGTCAAGATCGAGAGACTCCAAGAAATGGGGTGAACTGTGGGTGTTTCTTCGGCTGGAGCCAAGCTCGTAAGGGGAACCAACCTTTGATCCCTCACCTTCAGGTTTCACACTGGGTGAGGAGTAGGCATCCGTTTTCAGCTTTGGAGTTCCAATGTCTGACCTAGTCCTGGGCGTCCCTGACTTTGACGACGGCTTTGGCAGCCCAGGAATGTATTTGCTGCCCCACTTTGGAGTGCCAGCTTCAGACTTCAGATGTGGAGTGTTCGCCTCCGACCGAAGCTTGGGAGTTCCTGAACGAGAGTTCGACTTACTGTCACGCCCAGGCAAGCACATTTTCATTCCCAAGCCATCTCCAAAGACATCTTCGTCACTTTCAGAGGTGAAAACATCCTCGGTGTCGTTCACAGCGGGCAAGACCGCCTGCTGCTGATGCTGCTGCTCGTGATGCTGCTGCTTGGCCCCTCGCCGCTGTGCCCTCGAACTCTTGCAGTTAACACATCCCATGGTTTCATCCACACAGAGTGGAGCGCCTTACTACCCTCGTCCTGCACCTGTCATTTCCATTCCTAAAATACATTCGGCGGATTCAGCCCTATCAATGCTCTCGTGCCACTCGAGACCTCGAAACCATGCACATCTTTATTCCTTCCAACCCCCAAAATGCCATCACCCACCAGCATCAGCAACACGCCCAAGATTTCAGCTCCCACCCTCCAGCTCCTGCACCCCTGCGAGCTGAATAGCAACCTCCTCCACGGCTCACTACACCTCACCCACACCAGCCCCTTCGGATTGCACCACCAAGGTCTCACCAAAGGCTTGAAAACCTTTCACCACTTACTAAACTTCCAATGCAGTGCAAGAACTTCAAACTACATGACTCCACCACCGCCGCGCAATCCTCCCCGCGGTCACAAAATGTACCACAACTGTGCCTCAGTGTGGCGGAGAGGCACACCCGCCTCGAGCAGCGTGGAATGTGGAAGGAAAGGCGCTCGAGACGGGGAAATGGTGGGGGCGGGGAGTGAGAGTGACCTGCCACCAATGGGAAACAGAGTGGAATGGTGAGGAAGCTCCGATGCCTTGCCGTGCCGTGCCGTGCCTTGCTGGTGTGGCTTGGCTTGGCTATGTTCTGCATTGTTGCTTTGTTTTTCTTTCTCTTTTCTTTTCATTTTATTCCCTGTCAGAAAGGCAAAGGAGACAACGACGCAGAGGGGGGAAGTTGAAGCCATGGCGATGGTGAGCCTCCTCCGGCCCCGCTCGTTGTGCTTCCAACAAGGCGACGACGCAGCCCCAATTGCCACGGCAGACAAAAAAGTCGAAGGCCAAAGGGGGCCAGTTCATGAATATGCGGGGGCCAGCGTTCCGATTTCCCAGACAGGTATGGTTCGGGGATGTCCTGCGACTCTTCACCGTGCGACGAAGCATCTGGGCTCAAGAAGCGCGGAGTTCACTCCTGGAAGTGCGGTGCCTATCCCTCTCCCTCCATCCTCCATCGTCGTCGTCGTCGTGCCTGCCCCCTCCTCCTCCGTCTTCTTCCACTCCTCTCTCCGTCCTGCTGCTCCTCCTGCTCCGCCATAGTGTTGCCGCCCTGTGTTGTTCCACTGCGTTGCATCGTCTCGTGTCCACTCTCTCGCGTCGCGTCATGAATGCTTGGGCTATTCCGGGGCTTCGACAGCGCGCTCACTGCGAATTTGGGGACCCACGCGACCCTGCCCATCCACACGAATTCCCACCCCTCCCTCCGCACACACTCTCCCTCCCTGCCTCACCCACCCACCTACCTACCTGCCTACCTACCTTCCCACCTCCGCACTTGCTCCCCCCTTCATCGCCCACCCACGACGACGGCGACGATGATGCATGCCTATGGACGACGTCGGACGAAAGAACGACGAGAATGGACAACGACGACGGTGGGTATCGCCAGAAGGACACGTGAGGAGGTGGTGCATGGGATGGGTTTTCTACAAAGAAATCAGATGGAACGAAACATCTTGATTAAAATAAATAAACAAAAAAACAACCAACCTAGAGAAAGATAATATCTAAACACATGTATTTATATGTATGTGTGTATGTATAGATACGTTTCTCATATAAGACTTGGGTATAACACAAAGAGACAAAGAAGTCTTGTGATTGGCCATAAAGAAGGGAACGAGGGGACTGCAAGGAACATGGGAATATGGAAAGGAGGGAATATGGAAACAAAGGAGCATGGAAGAACAAGGAAATGGATGGATATGCTAGAGATTGTAGTACCCAACAATACAGATTTATACTAGTTTCTTATATAAAACAACTCAATAAACCAAGGGCATGAACGAGAAGAGACAAAAATCATCCTTAATTTGATGTGCATCTTATTGTTTTCATCAAAAATGAAGCAATAAGTAAACTTTTGATCAATGAGAGATGGCTATCCAAATGGTTTCCATTAATTCTAACACAAGTCAATTTTTAATATCATTATTAATATTTTTTATTTTAAATCTTTATAATATATGAAAATTTTGGAACAAATTATTTTTTATTAAACATAATAAATAAATAAAACTGACTAAAATATTTTATCATGCAAAATATTGAATAGACATGATTGCACATTACTACACTAACAATTTAAAGTAATTTGTAAATAGGGGTAATTCGTGCTATCAATCTTTTTTCTTATTGTGCACAATTTTTTTTTCTTTAATCACACTTTAATATATAAAAAAATGTTATCCTTGCAAATCTTCTTCCTATAACAATATGCAACCTTCACCTCTATTGATATTAATCATTCAAAATAATTGTAAGAATAGATTGATTTAATTCTTGATATATATACAAATGATAAAGATTGATATTCCTCTAATAATAGAATGTAACTAGTAAGCATGAAAAAAATATATATATATATATAAACAATGTGAAAAGTGAATGAATGAGAACGTGAAATGACTGAGGTTCAGTGAGATACATATTTTCCCTACACAATTTTTTAAAATTAAGAGGACATATGTGAAAAGAAAAGAGATGGAAATCTTTGGAAGAATAATACATTTTCAAATGTTGCTTGTCATAATATCAAAAGACTAAAGTGTTTGTTTTCTTTAATTTCCTCTTCCTTGTCCCTTACTTTTTTATTGTTATTGTAATTACTATGCTGTTAAGTGATCCAAAAATAGATACAAGTTGAAAAATGATTGTAAAATGATACATGCTATTGTGTACTATTATCAGTTATGAAATTCTAAAAACAGAAAAGTGTGCTCATTTAGATAAGGCAGCATGATCAATCATTGAATATGGGACACCAAGACAAAAATAAGTTAATTTATGGATTGACTGAAACTTGGATGTGCCAAAGGCACATACCACCAGCCATTCCAAAAACAAATTCAATGACATGATTTTGAAAAAAAATCAAAGGTTAGATAAAAGATGGTATCTTTTATATATATATATATATATATATATGAAGAAAAAAAAAATCCTTGACAAGTATATTATTGATAAAATTATTGACAATTATCAAAATAATTAAATAAAATCCAAACTTCTTACATATGCTAAATGAAAATTTGGTGGATATGCACATGTTTTTAAAAAATACATTAATCAATGGAAGAATCAAGGGACTTTAAGTTTTAGAACTTAACTTTTAAATTTTAAAAAAATTAAAAAAAACTGATTACTAAATTTTAATGATTATTTTAAAATACGTATTTTAGAAAATAAAACATTCATAGAAGTGCTATCTAAAAGTTGATACAAAGATAGAAGTATAGTTAAATAACAAAAGAAGACCAACAATGTGAAAAACATACATGTGATGACTATAATATATTTATAATCTACTATTTTTTCAAAAGTGTTTTGAAACTCAATTTGTAGATAAATGTTAACAGCTTCTAAAAACTTATTATTTATAGGAGATACAATCTAAAGAAAGGCTTTGTATATATGCATTATTCCAAGTTTGAATAAAACAAGCAAAATCCTTCTTTACCAAAAACCTTGTACATTTTAAAAAAATAAGCATGTATTAAAACAACTCTTTAGTGCAACAAAAATGGTTTATTTTAATTTAAAGATCTAAGCTTTAAACTTCAATGGCAAATCATGCTCTAGTTTATCTCTTGTATTATTTATCTAATTTAACTATATTATTCTTAGAACCAACTTAAGCATGCTAAATGATTTTAGACATGGCCAATTTTTTTATACAAATACACATTAATTTTAAATATTTCTCTGCCCAAATATCCAATGCACACCAATTGATTCTTGGTGGTCCTTACATGTGAATGTATTTAAAGAGATTTTTTCATACATGAAATATAAAAGAATTAAAACTTCTTTAAAAAGATATTAGCTATTATTATTTAATAAAATTCAAAATTATAAAAAATAAAAATCCAAAGTTATATATATATATATATATATATATATATATAAATAACAAAAAAATATATATAAGTACAAAAGTAACATTGATTGTATTCGTATATTATCATTGATTTTGTGTTAATTAACTAATTATCTATCTATCTACCTATAATTTAGATTTATTTATTTTACATATAAGTATATTTAACCAAAATAAAGTATATATTGAAAGACAAGCACTATGAAGTCACAACACTTAATATAAACAAGGTTGCACACAAAGAGAATATGAAGTAAGATATCTCTCACTTCCGACATTCGTTACTTATAGGTGGTGATTGTTGTCCTAATGGACAACTTCTATCTTTTTATGAATACATCCATCTAACATTCTATTGAGACTATCTATTACTTTTAGTATATTCTTTATATTCTTAAGATCCTTTGTTCATTCATCTACTTTATCTTTTGGCCTTCTTATATATTTAGAGTCAACTCTTTAACCAATAGCAATTTACTTAAAGTAATATCTTATTTAATGTTATTTATTTTACTTTCACATTTAATTATATATTTTAATACTCTCACTTTGCTATTGGTCAAAAGCTTTCAATCCTAATGCCTTTGTCAACATGTAATGTCAATCCTTTACTAGTACCTTTGTCAACAAATCAACAAGCATATCTATTGTTCTACAATACTTTATATCAATTACTCTCATTTCAATATTCTCTCTTATGAAGTGATGTTAAATGTCAATATACTTGGTCCTTGAACGATGCTTTGGATTCTTTGTAAATATAAGATATTCTTAATTGTCACACTCTATTGAAGTTACTTCCATTTGTACTACTCCAATATCCTCTAAAAGTTGTCTCAACCATATTGCCTTCGTTATACCATAATTTACTATTAGGTACTTTGCCTCCATTATGTCATGACTTGCTGTCATGTACTTTGCCTCCATTATTGATCTTGTAATTGTGAGTTATCATTTGTAATTCCATAATATAGCTCCTATTCCATCAATGAATACATATTTCATTATTGAACGTCTATCATTTGTATCTCTAACTCAATCCACATCACAATAACCATGCAAATTAATGTTATCACCTCCAAGGCACAATTTGAAATATAAAGTACCTTTTAAGTATCTCATGATTTTTTTGATGGTTGCTTAATATATTGGTTCAACTTTTGATATGTATTAGTTCATAACATTCATTTCATATGCAAGATCCACCGTTGTGCCAACCATTGTATACATAAGTGAATTCATTATTGCTTTGTATAGAACACCTTACATTTGACCTTCAACTTTAACATATTCTTCATCCATAAACTTTATCAACTTCAAATTAGCCTCCAAAAGTATTCTAATAAGCTTACATTCTTTCATATTAAATTGTTTTAATACTTCTTTAATATACTTGCTTTGGTTCATTGTAATGGTATTCTTAGCACAATCTCTTACAAACTCCACTTCTAAACAATAGGGAAGTTTTTTCAAATCACTCATCTCATACTCCATTTTTAATTTTGCCTTCAACCAATCCATCATCTTTATAGTATTAGTTAAAATGATCCAATCATCAATATAAAAGATGACAATCAATATGAACTCATTTTATTGTATCACATATAAGAAATGATTAGATTTACTCCTTCCAAATCCCTCATTTATAAAGAATATATAAATGTATTGGTACCATATCTTTGGTAATTATTTGAGTCTATGCAAGACTTTTTTTAACTTGCAAATAAGATGTTGTTTCCTTTCTTCTACAAATTCTTGAAGTTCATCCATATAGAGATTTTCTTTTAGATTTTTATTTAAGAAAACCATCTTCACATCCATTTGATGCATTTCAAAGTTTATTATTGCCCCAATTGCAACAATGATTCTAATTGTGGTGAATTTGGCCTTGGGATTAAATGTCTCATTAAAATCAATACCAGCAACTTGTAAATAGCTTTTGGCAATCAATCTAGATTTGTATCTCACAACATTGCCTATTGCATCTCTTTTGGTTCTAAACACCTACTTACAAAGAATTAAAGATCAATTTCTATATTTCATTGTCCATGAGTGATTTGTACTCTTCTTCCATAGCATTCTCTCACTTCATAGTATCCATAGACTTCATTGCATCACACAAACTCAATGGATGAGCAAAGAATACAATATTGGCATGTTCTTTACTTACTTGACAAAAGATGTGGTTCTTTTATTATGCACCAAGTTGTTTTCTATCTCTCAAAAGATATCTCCTTCCACTTCATGAAGCTTCACCTTCTTTCACTCCAAAGTTTCTTGTAAGCTTCTTCTCTCTTAAAACTTCTTTCTTCACATTCAAAGATTGATACTCATCATCATCTTCAATATCTTCATTATTTTTATTGTTGGTTTTAGCAATTATAGGTACATTATGGTCTACCTTCTTTAGCTCTTCATCTTTATTCTACCATCATTAATGTCATCATTTCTTTCTTTTTCTTTTGTTGAAATTAAAGATGTGTCCATAAACATATCATTATTCCCACTTTGGCACATTTCCAAGTGTTCATAAGTACTCTTATGTTCTAAAACTCAATATTACAATTCTTGATGATCTTCTTGGTTTTTAAATACATAAGCTTATATGTCTTAATACCTTTTTAATATCCAACAAATACATATTTTTTACCCTTTGCATCAATTTTGGACCTCGTATAATCTAGTACATTTGCATATGAAATGTATCCAAAAATCCTCATGTATAAAATACAAGGTTTCTTCCCATTCAAAGCTTTTTCTAGAGTCATTGATGTGAATGCACTTGTTGGGCACCTATTCTTTATATGCATTACATTTATCATTGCTTCTACCAAATACTCATGTCAAGGATTTTGTGCATAAAGCATATTTCTTATCATCTTTACAATACTGCAATTTACTCTTTTAGCAATTCCATTTTGTTGTAGAGTATAGAAAATAGAAGATTGTCTTTCAACACCTTGAATCTTCAAAAATTCATCAAAATATTTTGATATGTACTTACTTCCATTATCCATATGTAATATTTTGAGCTTGCTTTCACATTGTTTTTCTACAAGAGCCTTAAACTCCTTAAATCTTGAGAAATATTCACTCTTGGCCTTAAAGATATAAATCCACACTATTCTTGAAAAATCATCAATAAATATAATAAAGTACCTTACTCCTCTAATTGATGGTGTCTTCATTGATCTATAAACATCAAAATACACAATCTCCAATAATTTGCTTGCACTTGTTGCAACTCCTCTTGGAAATGAACCCCTTTATTATTTGTCTTGTATACAATCTTTACAAGCAAGTGTCAAGGCATTGTAGTCGAATTGACCAAGATTCAAGCCACTTACTATGGATTAAAATTCTTTTATGCTTTTGGCATTCAAATGACCAAGTCATTGATGCCAAATTTCAAACTTGTCTTGATCTTATAGAAAATCAGCAAATGCTGCCATTTCTATTCCATCCAACTTCTTACAATTGATGAAGTAGAGATTGCTATCTCTAAGGCCTTTGGCAACATGTTTTCTATTAAATTTCTTTATAAAACATCTATTCTTATTAAATTGAATTTTACAACTAGGTGATATAAGTTTATTCACCAAATTTTTTTTTTTTTTAATCTTTGGCACATATAAGACTTATTTTAATTTGATCTTCTTCATTTGGCCCTTCACAACAATTTCTACGACAATGGATTCAATTTCAATGGCTTGTACTATACCATTGTCTCTCAATTAAACTTTAGTTATTAGAATTTCTTCATAAGTATCTAATTTTTTACAAATATAGTAATTTTTTATGTTACTTTTTGAATTATCACATTGGTAAAAATAACTACTTTTGTCTTGTCTTAAAAATAGATCCAAATCATCATTTTGGAGCTCTCTTTTTTTCCTCTTGATTACTTCATAGGCAAGTCTTGATGTGACATAATTCATAATGAGATCTTTCATATTGATAGACTCCAATGCCAAAATGAGGAAGTTATAGGATTCCAAAAGGCTCATGAGCAATATCAATACAATGTCCTTATTATCAATTGGCTTGTCAATAATTGCTAATTAGTTTGCAAGTACTTTTATCTTATTCACATAAGTCATGAGGTCATCTTCTTCTTCCATTCTTACTGTTAAGAACTTCTTCCTTGTCCATAGAATGTTAGCAAGATTTCTACTCTTATAGATGTTGCAAAGAGTCTTCTATGCTTTTCTTAATCCATTGCAAGCAATTACATGTAAAAAATTGGAATCAACTAAATTTGATGCAATTATTGCCAAAAGTCTTCTTTTCACAACATTTGTACTCTTTTTTCAAGATAAAAAAAGAACTCTCAAAATCAAAAAAAAACTATCGCTTCATTAGAAACCCAAAATGCCCACTTTGTAAGTGAATTAATAATAACACTCTTTAATCACTATCAACTTTATTTATAGGACTTCTTAGAAATCTTATATTCTATCTAAACCTCTTTTTTAAGCTTTGCCACTCCTCAATTACCTCTCTTCTTTCATAAAATACTTTTAATCTTATAAAACACTTTTTATCACTATAAGAGAATCTCAAGAAAAGTTTACCACATAAAACCACAATATTAAATCACAATTGATGTGAATCAACAAAGAAATATAATACTAGTGTTTTAAAAAAAATATTCTAAGATATCTAATAACCTCCAAAACTATTAATGCACTTAACAACAAATAAGAACAAAATTACATCAAGAAGTAGATGCAACAATGGAATAAGATGATACCAAATCCTAACATCAACAACTACCAAAAGATCTACTCCTTACAACAAGTAAGACTTAATAGAACTTCAAAACTCACAACTAAAGGTAAGTCGGCCCATAACCTATTGAAGAACAAACACTATGAAGTCTTAATACTTAGCATCAACAAGGTTGCACACAAAATGAGTATGGAATAAAATATTCCACACTTCCAACACTTATTACTTATAGATGGTGGCTGCTGCCCTAATGGATAACTTCTATCCTTTGATGAATACATCCATCCAACATTCTACTAAGACTATCCATTGTCTTTAGCATGTTCTCTATACCCTTAAGATCTTTTGTCTGTTCATCGTAGCTAAGATGTGGGATTAGGGTTTTGAACAATGGCAAAACACGAATTAGTAATTCGTTATACATGATTCCCTCTGTTTGTCGTTGAAAATAAGCCGCACTGTTGTTCGGAGGGGGTGTGCATCCCAGCTAGGGAGGATGCAAATCTCGTGTTATTGGCTTCGTTTTAACACGATTGTGCAATTGGCTTCGTTTGCAAGCGGAATGGAAGTTTGGCCAAATGTCGAGGAAGCATTCATGCTGTCTCGATCAACAATTGGAAGGACATGACCAAAATCGGTTCTCGGGTGCATCTCCCTTCCCTCATTTCTACCCCATGGTCTTGGCATCTCTTCATTGAACTTATCTGAAGACTCTGTTGATTTAATCAAGACATATCCAAGATGGAGTTGAAGGCATTTGATGAAACATGGGTTTCTTATCTAAATTCAGAAATGAAAAAAGCACAAATCCAATAATTAGCTCGATGACTTTTTCAATTTTACAATAAAAGTATGTGTGCAAAATACACATACACACTTACATACATACCCTTAGTGGAAGTCAATCAGTTAAGATTCCTCTCCAATTTATGGAACATATTGATGCTTTTCACACACAGGATAAGGGATATTGATGCATGAGTTTATTGCTCAAGGCATAATTTGCTTTAGAAACCAAGTCGTTGAAGATTACCTACGAAGAAACAACTAGTGATGGGAATGTCTCCACTAGCGTACATTAACTAGAACGTTAATGAAAGAAAAATATCCCAAGAGAAAAGCCAAAGAAGTTGTTTGCAAGCAAATTGATTAGACGTGTCGAAATAGAAATACTACACTTTATTTCATCTGTTTCTAAGTGTGGAAATCCACAATTGAACATTAATCCTCAAGTTTACAAACTGGCTTTATGACTCAAGCTCGCTGTACGCGGCTGTGAATCTGTAAAACTTCTACTATGTTCAGATATTTCTTTGTTGAAGACACTAGGGCATTAGAGATCACCGTCTGATGCCACAAACGTGATAATCGAGAGGCGCGAATTCGCTTGGGAAGCTCATGCCAACTGCATTCCACAGTCGAAGCACAGGCTTACCATCGTCGGGCGCAACATTAACCGACGGGGCGGTTTTCGTCTTCGAGGTCTTGTAACAAGTCTGCAGACTGCTGGACGGTTCCCTAGTAGTCACCCTTGTTCTTCATCCAACTCCAAGTTGAGCAAATTCACAGGTTGTTGTGATTCACCTCGTCTTGAAATAGACCATGGACTCGATGCTGAAAGATGTAGCACTTGCAAGAGAAATGGAGGAGGTAATAATAAACAGCTTTCAAGGCAACTGAGTGTAAATGGATGAGAGAATTCCAGGAGAGCCAATTTATATCACGTTCTCCTGATTGTTAAGATAGACAGCACAGCCATGCTGCGTGGGTAGTTGGTCAAATATTCTGTCGGCCCGCAGTCGAGTTGTTTACACAAAACTGCACTAGCTGGGTGTCATATTATCATGAAGACAACATGATCCGCTTTAAAGAGCCACAGTGAAATTACAGAACTAACATACCTCCCAGTGTCTCAAGATGAACTGGTTTCATCCAACTCTAAATTCAGGCTCTCATGGTAAGACCCTAACCTATCATAATCCATCCCCCTCAACAACCTCTACATTCTTGCAATACAAGAAGGGAAATTAACGTCCTTCAATGTCGTCTATTCTACACTATAAAAACTTTCCATCTTCGAAGAAAGAATTATGAAAGTAACAAGAAACTGCCGTTTGAGAAACACCAGGACAAATTTTCACAAACACGCCTCCGGAAAGGAGGGGGTTCTTTCTACATGCCAATTTCACTTTCTTTCAAGAATTCTTTACAATGCTTCCGGTTAACTGTGGCACTTTTCACCAAAATCTATTTGCATATCAATGTCCTTCTCGTAGTACTCTGTATTCCCAAGTGCAACTTCTACGTTCATTATCCCTACACTAACTACGAGATGTAGTATTTGCATGTTGGGCAGCAAGTGGACTGCAGCAGCCATTGACGTATGCAAGCAGGGTGGAAAGTATGAACGCACGGTAGCACCATAACTTCCTCACCTTCTACCATCTCTGACAAGCACACGATACAAATATCTCCAGCACTTCGAGAAACGGTGTGTGTAGGCAATTCCGCTATTGTTGCCTCCGGCACTCCAACGTTCACTGTTACGAGCAAGAACTCGTGAAGTCAGTTTATAAGTCTAAATCTCAGATGACCTCACCTAGACACAGTTCATCTAGCATTCTTACTTCATTAGATGCAACTGCTGCTAAGAAAGGTGCATCAAATACTTCAGATACTGCAGAGTTGATTGTCAGTGTTGTAGTTCGTTAAGCACTGAAAAGGAAGGTGTGGAGACAAAAAAAATTGCCTAAGAATAAACACAAACTCGCCAATAAACCAAGTTTCACGGCAAACACGTGCATTTCCAACAGCTCCATCACTTTCCCGAAGTATCTTTCAAGATGCAGTGAGACTACCTCGACCTATGCTGTCTTCGAGCTCAACCAACTCTTCGTAAGTAAGGTTGGTGTTCATGTGGCGGCTAAAGTCTTGCCATAACTGTTCTAATTCAGGCTCGGGTCCATTGTCTCTCTGGTGATATCTCATTACACGTCGTGTCCGACGCCTGCCTCGAGTCACTAAGCCCCTGCTTGTCAAATTCTGTAAGTGTACCACGCCGCGAGGGACAAGTCCCACTGCGCAGCCCACCAATACTTTGCACACTGAGACACCTTCAAATGATGAAATCATCAAACGACTACTGATTCCAAGACCTTACAAGCTCTAAATCGGTGAAAGCTGTACCTTGTTGCAAAGTTGAGTTCAAACCTTCTCCTTCGAAAAATTGAGACCCTGTAATCGGAAGTATCTGCACGCAAATAAAAACAAGAACTTCAAATTTAATGATACTATTGCTATAGTAATAAAAATAAAAATAAAAACTACCTTACTAGAGTCAAACAAATAAAGAACGGTGCCAAAATCATTCTGCGAGTTGATCAAGAGAAAGTGGAGGAAAGGGATTTCAGATCCTATAATAATACATACAAGCCCATGTTCAGCTGTTGAAAATCTTCCTGGAATAGCGAACTCGCAAACAGACAGTAGGGTGGTATCTGTGTTAACACAAAAACAACCGAATCATTAAGACGTGATACTTAACTCAAGAATTCGCCAGATGCGCAAGCTTCAGCTATAATCACGCAGGGAAGAAATGATCGTTCACCACTTACACGCAGGAAATGTGTGCTGAAGAACACTCCCATCTTCCAGCCGTATTTTTAGCTCACTAACAGCAGAACTTCCACTGCCAGGGGATCCTATATGCAACCTTTCAGACGGCGATGTTTCTTGAACTTCCCCTCTTCGACCAGCACAATCTATAGTATGTCCACTGCCAGCGAATAGAATACGAAAAAGTGACTTTGCAGCTCTCAAACAAAATTACCGATTCTATTACATTCACACAAACTGAGAGGAGCTTTCAAGGCATCCTAAAACCATAAACTGCCAACACATAACCTATGGTACAAAGAGCCACGAAACATGAACAAAATGACACTTGAGTGGACATTTCCAGCATCGGAACCATGAAGACAACTAAGTTAAGGCTTTACTCGGCATGGCACAACAAGTATGTACCTTGCAGAAAAGGATGAGCCATTCTCCCCAGCAGAGCTATTGCTTCTTGTTTCGTCGATGCGCTGCAACTTTTCCGGCCGAGAGGCGGAGGGAGACGGCAGAGGCGAGCGTGTTCGAGGGATCCGCCCTCTCAAACCAACAATGTTGCTTCCTATATCCTGCACCCGCACCTCAGCTGGTTGACTTGTACCACAATCTGCAACTTGCTTGCCTTTGCAGTCTTGATTCCCAGGAATAGATCTTGCTTCATCATTGCTAGTGATTGTTGGTACTGGTTGTAAATCTGATGGTGTGCAAATGTCTCCTGCAAGTTCTTCATCAGGCATAAAACCCTCTCGAAACATCTGGGCTGCTTCCGTCATTCTCTTAGCCGCTGCTTGCAAAGCTAGCTCACGATGCCGAACACGCTCACCATCCACCTCCAAGTTTCTCTCCTTACTGCGGGCTACAGAAATGGAGGCAGCTGCCACCGAAGGTAGAACTGCTGGTGCTGACATAGACGTCGCTGCAATACCGACATCTACAGTTCCACTGGTCGCTCTTTCAGAGCCTTGCCCAATGCCATGTCTCTCTGGAGTTGCTTCTAGTCGACGTTCCCGCATTACCACGTCCTCAACACGTCGAGAGACATTATTATCTCGCAGGAGTTGGGAAGCGGGCACATGTGCATGCCAGGATTGCACACCCTTTCCAGAAGGTTCACTAAATTCATGCGGATTGTTAAAGTGCTCTGATGTTGAAGAGTCCTCTTTAGTTTTGAACTGTGCAGTAAGAATTCCTCGAGGAAAAAGGTTTGCATCGCTCAACGTTGTCTCCATCAACGCTTCTGCAACCATACAATCAACAATCATCACAACAGCACCATCTCCAAAAACCAGCTGCTAGCGAATGTGCCGCTACGGGACCTGCTCTTTCTAGTCAATCAAAGTGGTAACACCAAAAGGCTAGAACCGAAAGGTAACCTGGGGCAGAGTCGAACCTGTATCAAACACTATTCGGGGAAAAGGAATCAAGAAGTACAAATTCTTTGTAGCAAGGTCGCAAGAGGTGGTTGCGCTTGAAGATGGATCAGCATATCTTGAAGTTTTTCTTGATCTATGGGAAACCCTGTCCAGACCATCCAATATCCAACCCAACACCACTTGATCAACAAGAATCACAAAAGAACCTGATAAAGTGAGAGTTAAGTATTCCAACGTGCCTCTAAAAAAGATACAGCAGCCTCTCAACACAAGATGCTTAAGTCCGTAAGTGGTTGAACACAAGAGCAACATCTGTAACACGTCCAATCTTAGAAGGTCTATGCCACCTAAAGCATCATTGCTGCATTAAGGAGCTCATTAGCCATTGCCAGTGTCTTATACATGGCACGTCATGGCTCAGCCAAATTTTAGAAAGAAGATTAAATATTATTTTGATCAGAACTTCATTGTTCTTCCAGCACGAAGCTAATTACATCGTGAAAAGACCAGAACAGATAATTAACAAACCTCTCGGAAGATACAACTGCCGCATTGCCCCTAGAACGAGATGTCCTTCTACACTGACGATTAGTCACCATGGTTGATGGCGTTCCCACCGGTTGCTGCAGTTGCGGGTTTTGCAACTGTTGGAGGTAAAAGTCTCGCACCTCCTTCAGAGTTGCACCTAGCATCCACAGCCACCAACACCATAGGCATGCCTGGACATCTATTCATGCTATGGTTTCGCACGTATAGAAATGCACCTAATAATAATAATCAAATATATTTCTGAAATTCATTTACAACCTGAGAAGGAAGCTGCTTGAATTTTGGCTGAACGCCTCATTACCTACAACCTATCTAACTTCATTCAAACACAACCAAATACGATCATGTAGCACTAGATACCTGCACTGAAAGTCCCTTTTATGGTTGGATACCCTGAGCAACGAATATGAAGCTCGACCGAAACTGCGTCCGCTTTATCACCGGAATTTGAGCCAGAAGCCAACGCCGGTGCAGCAGCAAGCTGCCCGTGCCACCTACCATTGACTTTGCCATCCACCATATATTTTCGAGCTTTCACTTTCTCCAACCCTTCATCATGAACCTGAAAAAAGATCACAAAATCACTTGAGAAACAAACTGGAAGTCGAAGTCATAAGAAATCTCTGCAACATGCTCTTTTCTGAGTATCGATCTCTTATTCCCCATTCAGCCTTCAAATAGTAGCAGCAACACTGCTCAAGTAATCTTGTCAAGGATCGGCAAACATGCCATGCTCAAGACCAGAATCAAAACAGTTGAAGCAAGGAACCACACCAAAAATCGATTTCGAATTCAAAATAAATGAAATTGTAAAGTATGTCCATTTCCAAAGAAGAAAGATGGCATCCAGCAACAGATTCCTTGCGGTATATGTTAAAATGCACACAAGTTATAAGTTAGAAATCAGAATGACCTTCAGGCGCTCTGTCGAATTAGAACCGTGAATTTGGTCATCGCCACCTGCATCTGGGACAACCGCATCCAATCTCGCTGCTGGACTCACGGGGTCGGTGACGGTAGAATCAGCGGCCACACTACCAGAAGGATGCGATGAAGAGAGTGGCGAGGGCAACGCAGACGGACCCTCTGCCGTTGAAGGGGCACCCCCATCTGCTGGCCACTGCAACAATAATTCCACAGCCGGCTCAATCCCACTGCTGCGCCTTAGTGCTTGCTCACACCATTCTCTCGGAAAGCCCATCGCCTCCAACACATCCGCCATATTTGATGCTAATTTCTGTCTTCCCTGCACCTCTGCTAGCGCCAGCACCAAGTCCAAACCATAAATTCCACCCCCGTTCCCTTCCCCTTCCCCAGATTCTTGAACCATCCAAACGATTAAGACCCCACCTCCTCAATTTCTAAGAAGCCACGCTAGGCTTTCATCGCAAGGCAACCGGCACCCGTCCGAATTCCCACGACGCGATCTAATTCCACGACTACACTCTCAACAATTAACACCTACAAATCCAGCCCAGGCACGCAAGAAATCCAAACCCTAGTGCAAGATGACTCCAACTTTGTCAGAAAGGAGAAGAAACGAATGCACGCGCCACTCAAACAAACGCGACGGATTCCACAGCATGTAAAGACCTTCCTCTGTAACCTCTCCACACCGGAATCCTAAGTGGCCAATATCACACAATTTACTCGCCAAACAAATTTGCTTGTTCCGCCAGCAAATCATCTTACCACTCCAAAGCTCCCACTAACCTGCTAATCTCTGCGAATGGTGATGAAAAGATGGCCTCCTTCTAGCGCTAATATCTACTTTTTGGAGCAAAGGTAGATAAAAACTGAACTCTCGGAGGATCGAAAGCGTGGAAACAATTTGGAATGCTACATGTCGTGTGGCTATCTAGGAATCCGGAAATAGGTTACTGATCCCATGGCCAGAAAGTGACCTATTTCCGGCGCTTGGTGCCGAACCGCCATATCCACTCAAGCTTCGAAAACTATTCAGCCCAGAGCGTCTCGTCCACGACTAAGGCCAGTCCTCAGACAGAACTGAGAGACAATTTCACGGCCACACAACAATGAGAGCGGTTGTTGTGGCTATGGCATGAGCTCCGTCTGTTGGAGCTTCACTCAATCCATGGCAATGTCGCTGACTGCAAGAGCTTTGAGTGGCGGGGTTGGAATTGTGGATAGTCGAATCCACGCCGCTGCTCCGTCGCCTGCGTTTTCCTCTTCATTGATTGGCTTCTCGCCACTTCATTATGTCGTGGGTTGCAGACGTAAAGTGAGGAAATTAGGCAGGGGTGTAATAGAAGCTAGCAGTAGAGGCTTGGAGGAGAAGGAAGAGGATGGTGCCGAGGGGCTGTCAAGGCGAGCTGTGCTCGGTGGGCTGCTGGCGGGCTACATGTCGTTAAGTGGGACTGAAGCCTTGGATGCGAGAGCAGAAATACCCACGTACCGGAAATATGTGGACAGATTGGATGGGTACGCATTCAGCTACCCCTCGGGGTGGATTCAAGTGCGAGGAGCGGGGGCGGATGTGTTCTTCAGGGACCCCGTCAACCTCGACGAGAATGTTTTGGTGGAAATGAGCTCGCCTTCCTCCTCGAAATTCAAGAGTGTGGAGGATTTAGGTCCTCCCGAGGAAGCCGCCAAGAAGGTTTTGCAGCAGCAGTTGACGGAGTTTATGTCGACCCGAATTGGTGTTCGTCGAGAGGCAAATATCACCGCCACCAGGTCCAGAGTTGGCGGAGACGGCAAGCTCTATTACGAAGTCGAGGTGTGCATTATGAATTTCAATGTTCTCCCCTTGTTTTGAAATCATGAATGCGCCAGATCGGGAGTAGTCATTGCGAGCGTGTAGCATACCTTGGTTTTTTTTGAGAATATTGCAGAGGCTAGATTTGTTTTTTTTTTTTTTGGTTTTTTTTTTTTTTTTTATATCAGTGTGAACCCTCATTCCACAACTTGCGTCCTCTCGTTATCCATCCTCTCCTTCGAATCTGCGTCATGTTCTTTCTCCTCCTCTCGTCAATTCCAAGACATTGGAGAAGCCCACAACCCTGCCCAGTGCTGTCTTGTACACAGTCTGTAAACTCGAGCTGTCATACGAACTCTTGGTCTACAAATCTTAGAGATCGCCAAACGTCAATGTCAGGGCGCACAAAACCTTCAGAGATTTTGTGGATATAAGGTTGTCGAATAGCTTTGCAGCAAATGTATTGAAGGGGCAGTATGACTAAGGGGCTAGGACGATGGGGGTTCGATTACAAATGCTTGCTTAAGGTGGGAGAGAGATGAAGAATTACAGCGAGAGGTTGAATGACGTCTAATACGACTGTTTTGTTACATGAATAAGCAGGTGGTAGCTAGTTCATATGCCAACAACAATCAGTTAGCTGTGATGCCTGGAGATCGCGTCGCAAAGCTTGAGTGGAGTCGACGCTATCTGTCTGTATTGGGAGTCGAGAACAGTAGGTTATATCAATTGCGACTTCAGGTACCTGAGAATGTAGCCGACTTAGAGCAGCAAGATTTGAGAAAGATCATGGAATCTTTTCAAGTTTTGAAGCTGGAGGCGTAGGGTGGTTGATATTGTATATCGGAACTTGATATTAATGCGAAAGTCACTAGTTCTGAGCAATACTACACCATTCAGGGAGGTCTCACCTTTGTTCGTCTATTTTGAATGCTTGCAGTCGATTGATGGGTCTGGTGAAGATAGAGTACAATGGCATTGTGGTACCTTCGACTGGGTGAGGATTTAGACTGACCTGGGCATGGTACCTTTACGATTAACATGCTCAGCTTTCAGCAGGGCGTTAATTGAATAAAACACGATTCAAGTAGGCGTATTAGTCACCTATTTTGGAGACATCGTCACCTTTTCACGTCAAAGAACACCCATGTAAGATAAAGTAATCTCTAATGAATGCAATCATATTTTATCCATTAAGGTCGATTGAATGCTCATACAAATAACAAGTGAATGAACAATCAGGAGAACCTCTTACAAATTATTCCTTAGATTAAGTCATTCAGTTTCTCAACTTGGTACAGATGCGATTCTATTATTTTCCTCTATGAAACCTATTTACTTGAACCTTTGCTTAAAGAAATGGATGGTCTTCAAACAGTACAGTTGTGCGTCAAGTTGGAGGGAAGAACTTATTGAGACCCATGGGCAGTTTGTAAAACTCAAGGTTACGAGGATCTGAACCATAGGTACTGAATTTGTCCCACCAGAGTAAACCCCGGTCCCTTCGTGATGCCTTGAGTGTTTGGTCGAGAGTTGTTGCAATCATCATTGCTAAAACTGCGCTTGAAGAAAACAGCACGTTGATAGTATCGTTGAACTGTCCACAATATAATCATTTTCTTCAGATTAGATTTATTGGGAATTAGGTCATACTATTAGAACATTTGTGAACTTCAGGAATTAAAAATTCAATAATCTATTGGAGCAAAAGATAAAGTGTGCCTAATAACTGTTTAGAAAGAAAATGACGCACAACAATAAGCAGCAGTCAGAATCAATAGCATTCAACTCCTTCCTTGAAAGCCTTCACATACCCAATGTGCACGTGAATGGGATGGACCATGACCGGCTGTCAATGTGTATTGCTTGAAGTATTGTGGCACTGAGAATGCCATAAAAACTGAAAATCCAATAATAAAGATATTCCGTTGCAGATTCATATTGCAAAATTGAAGACTGGATATGCCAACCGCTCCTGGTCAAGTCAAATATACTGGAAGGATTCAGGTCAAGAGGCAGAAGCTTAAGGCTTTAGCTTAAAAACGATATATATACAAGGTGGAGTGGCGAATAGTTGAGGATCTAAAAGAAATACCTAGATATGCAAACATGATGCAAAACACTGCACCCACCATGGGTACGGGTATAGATGCAAAGATGCCACCAAATTTTCCTGTTTCAGATAATGATCATACTGATTCATTTAGTCTTGAATGTATAATTTTTTCGTGTGGTCGATATAAGTTTATCTTTCGTTTAATCCAATCATAAAAAAATTGTAGCAGATTCATATTGCAAGTTATAATCAAGTTGGAAAAAAAAGAAATTAAATGATAGCATTCACGTATTTATGTCTGGCTTGAAAGATCAACAATCTTAAAGTTGAATAAGTTTGGCGGCTACCCAAAATAGAGAGACATATCATGAATCCTGCAGAAATTTGCACAACTCGACGACTCCCAACCTTCGTCAATCCAATCAATCCGATTGTCTCCCTATCAGAAGTATAGAAAAAATTATTAAATTCCTGACATGACACAGCTTTTTTCTGATAATTGAAGGTCTAGCTTTCAATGGTTGATTAGTACCAGAACTGGTATTTTAAGTACCGCTATTATTGTTGTACTTACGCAGAAGTAGTTGATCCTGCTGCAGTTCCAAACATTCCGTCCATCAATATTCCTAAACCCTGCAAGAAGATCAATTAACTTGGGTAACTACAATTCCATAATTAAACATCATAAATCCTAACTGGTGGACTACCCTCAAGACACAATAAATCTAATATTCCGTTTTGATCTATTCCTTGATCCTAAACGAGACCTCCATGCTGTCAAGCAATAATGACAAACGTGTTGGATCGTTAACCATTCTATATGAGTGTAAATCAGTCATCAGTGAGATAGGAAACTGAAATTGACTTACGATCTAAGAAACATGGGCTGTACACATTTCACAATTCACTACAAGGATTGAAATGCATATTCACATCATTCAAGCTTGATGTCGGTTACTCACTTTGATACTAAAAACTGAGTTTCTGTCGTATCATTTTGTGTGTGTGTATGTGTGTGAAAGTTATTTCATCCCCATTCAAAAACAGCACAGCATACTTTTCCAGAATTATTGCTTACCTCCCAACCGATGCCACGGCTGATAACATAGGGTGGAGGTGGTGTGGCGCCGGATAAGCGTGATATGACATAAAAATGACCTGTTGACTGCCACATTATCCAGAGAAATCACAAAGAAGCACGAGCTGTTTTGACACACAAAACAAGTGTTCTTTGAACCAAATTACCGTATTTATGAATGTGACAGATCTTTCCTTACTTATTACAATAATTTGATACTGAGAATTCACACATTTTAATTATCAAAAAATCTATAATTCGTCTGGTATTATGATGTCACCTCTATCAAGGTTGCTACAGCTCCTGCTAGTATTCCACATACATGATCAGCATCAAAGGTTGGAGCTCCCCATTGCAAAGGGTAAGGTATTCTGATCCTAATGAAGTGATTATAGAGAAATTCTCAGTAACGTTCTCTACATGATTGAGAATTCTGCTTCTACTTAATTCAATAACTGCAAAATTGTAACACATATATGATTGATCCATAAATGGAAGTTAGAAGTACTATCAGTCATGCCTTACAAATTTCTAGCACAGGCTTGGATTGTAATTATTCATGCAATGATAAAAAATTATGTATAGCTGAAAATGGAAATAAGAGAATGGAAATGACTTGTACCAAGGAGTTGATCCGATGATATGCGCTCGGTCTGTTCGGCAGTGAAGTTTTCCTTTTGGAGAAACATGTTCATATGCTCCACTCATAGTTAAGAGATGAGCATATGCCCAAGTTATAGCTGTGCCAATCATGACTGGAAAGAGCTCAAAAATTGGCTGATGCCGAAACCTAATATGTTTCAAATACTGCACCGAAGGAGTTGCTCAAATCAAAGAATGTCAGGTACACCCAATTTCCAGAAGAACTACAAAGGTCTCAGAGACAGAAAATAAAAAAATCTCTGATAAGAAAACTGGACATAAAGAATTTTAAAATTGCTAAACATTCAAAAGAGAATACATTTTCTGTACAAGCATATATAGAAGATCGTGGCATATTCTGCATGAATTTAACTTTACACTGCTGAAATAGAGCCAGGTGAAGCTACCTGAGAAAATATTAGAACCAGAAGTAAATGCGGAATGCCGATCTCTACACATTTGCCTACCTGTTGAAACACACACACACACACACACCATTGGATTGCTTTTTATTATGTTATCAGATACTAAAACTGAAATTGACATCTGTATACCTAGATTTTTGTAAGTAAATGAACAAAAAGATTTAAATCGACCTTCGTGATAGCCATCATCAAAACTTCCTCATTTTCAGTTGTTTCTGATGAAGTATTGAAAAGATAAAACATTATTCCGGGCTAACATATGTTCCAAGGGTTACTGATAAATTAAGAACAGAATATGTAGAAAACAAAACCGAAACAGTGTAAGAGTTAACTACGCACCATTGGGAAGCCATACTCGTAGAGACCCAACCCCGCTGCGATTATAGTGGGAGCGATGCACACTGGACTTAAGAACCTGCAAGAATTTCCAAATGCCAATGATTGTAGGTCGACAGCACACACTTGACGACAGTTAGCAATTCAAGTAAAGAAAAGTAATAAATTGCTGACTTTATGGTGATTGAAGAAGAGAATTTTTTTTAACAACTTGACCCTCTCCTCTTGCATCGAGCATGATCAGTTCGAAGCAACAAAAAAAATTCCTAGTAAATTTATATACTAAATTGTGACAAAATTTAGCGCACAGTAGGATGATGACTTTGGATTTCAGAAATGTGAGAGGGGACTATTATAGCAAACGATTCAATCAAAATTAAAAGGGAATGCCGAGTTGGATACCTAACTAGGATCCCCCACAACCCACTGAAGCCCAGAGCAATTTGGATAGTTGAGGATGCTATTATTGCACCTTGAACAGCACGCATTGTACGCAAGAACCTCTGTTCATGTGCAACAGAAATTTCTTAATTGATAAGAACGAGGACACTTGAAGCAGAGAAGAACAAACTAATAAAGAAGATACAGGTCCCGTTTGAAAGTTCTACTTCTCGTTTATTAAATTAGACTTTTAAAACAATACCCATATTTTGCAGAAACTTTCCTTAAATTAGAACGAAATTAGGAGCAATAAACAATGGATAGTATTGACACTGTAGTATGAAGGATTTGTGTAGAAAGAACCTCATTGTCGTCATCAATACTGAGAAGATTGTCGGAGTTGATAATCGTGATTGTAGGAATTATGAAGGCAAAGGAGCCGCCAACAATAGTGGGCAGACGAGTTCCAAAAGTCGTTTGTAAAAGTGTGTTGATACCCGAGACGAACAAAATCGTCTGAATAACTCTGGACCTGTCTGCCTGTAAAGTTCATGGTATGCGAAGATTTTCCAAACCTATCAGAGAATCATCTCAAATTTTTCATCCCCAGCTGATTACAAAACATCTTTAAAGTTGAGGAAATGAAGGTAGCATAACTGCTACAAATTTCCTACATTCAACGCTATACAAGCTGTGACCTGAAAAAGAATGCAAAAGTTAATCAAGATCTCATGAACTTATAAACATTCAGTTCTTACATCATTTCCTCCCATCATGGGCACCAGGATACTAGGAATCATGATTGATGATCCAAGCATAACCAGATAGTGCTGGAACCCAAGCGCAATAGCCTCCGCTGTTGCAAGAAAATAGTAATTAAACACAATTATTGAGAAATATAGAATTATAAGAAAATTGAGCGAAATTAACGCAGTAATCCTTGGCACTTACTTTGATCACACGGGAGGTGAGAGATGCAACTATTGAGTCATAGATAGTGGCAGTGATGTGCTTTGACATTTACATGATGGAAGGCTTGAAAACTGATGCTTGGAAATCACAGGCTTCCACTCAACCACAAAAGGAAGGAAATTACTCCATGTTGTTACACACACTTAGACTTGCACTGCACTATGTTAGTATCGCAGGTCGGCGGTTTCTGTACTCGACAACACTTACTGATAAGAACCACTCCTCCAACAGCAGTTAGACAATCCAGCACCAGTGAATTTTCCTAAAATCATGCCCAACATGTCAAAACATATCGACCTCCAATTCCACGACGAGGAATGTTCCTTACAGTAAAATCTTGAGTGAGAAATAAAATTTGGACGATGAGTTCATATATGATGCTCGAACATTGTAAGAGAGACCATTTACCACTGAATTCGATGTGCACTTACCTTGAGCACTAACGCATCAAGCGGATACTACCAGTTTTAACCCAGCTTTCTCACCACATTAATTGTTTCGTGATTCTCAAAATGAGAAAAACCAAGGAATATTGGCTCTGCGATTGAAAGCTAAAAGACATCTTGAGATACGGGATGGATATAAGCTGTACTTAGAACCTTGACTTTTAAAGTTCAGCGCGTTGTACGTAACCTTGTAGAAATACTCAAAAACTTAACCTTAATCTTCAGCTTCCTGTTCTATTCAAAACTTTGCTAAAAGCAGACGGTGCTTTGTTGAACTGGTCAATTATGATTTGATGTGTGTGGTTCGACAAGATGACGAGGATGACCACAATCACTACGTTCATTTCTAACGAGAATCCATTGACGTGCGCATGTTAAACTCGTCCTAAAATCGGTATCTTAACAGTTGCTCATAAACGGGACGTCAAAAGCAAAAGGATATGAATGTAGGACGTACGCCAAGGTGGATTATCGTTGATACAATACTTCAGCTCAGGAAGCTGCTCTTGGCAAGGATGGCTTAAGTCTTCAGGCTTGGACTGCAAGGGACCAGGCATACCCAGAGTTGCAGGAAAATCTCCAGTCATCACTAAGAAGTTAGAATTCGCTCCGTTTCTTCAACTTCAATCCCACCAGTAATCCTACGGTATTCGTACCAGAGATTAACACGTCCGCATTTTATCGATGTCTACACAGCTGATCACGATTCGTCAAAAACAAATCCTTCTAGAAGTTGGACAGATGATCTGAGGCTTTCGACGTTTGTCACCCACAAGGACTGACGGAACTTGCGCATCGGTAAAACACTACATTAAGAAGACACGATCAATCCGAAAACTAACGATGAAGGATGACCGGCTCCAATCGGCACAACCAATAAGCAAGTAAACCCGAATAATCTGAAGAACTGGATATCCGCAGCTTCTAAACCGGAAGGAATGAAGAGATAGAGAGAGAGAAAGAGAAGGAGAGAGCAATACACACACATACACACACCGTCCCTACATCATCAGTCGTGACTGAATTACACAGAAAGTAGATCGGTCTTCGCAAACACAAAGGCTCAGCGATTGCCGATCAACACAGTCAAGAAGAATTACGAAACTTGCATGTCGAGTGACAGAATGTGTGCAGATTTTACCAAATCCTACGAAAACGACTTAGAAAATCAAAGGACGGTAGGGCGAGAGACATCGAGCATGCAGCAGCGAAGTAAAAGAGGGGAATGGAGAATCGAGAGACGCAGCGATGGAGAGAGCTGGAATAGTGTAAACAACACACGGAAGTGCCAAGAAAGCAAAGCTCAAAGAGACGATGGCATAACCGGAAAATTAGATATTGAAACGAACGAAAACATGGAAGGAACGAACGAACGAACGAACGAACGAAGATGGGAACGAACCCAGTATTGTACACGTTTGGTCACAACCATTTTGGATGATTTTTTGGTTCTTCTTATTCATCCGTTCTCATATTTATGGGCTGGAAGCCTAAAATTGAGTTTTTTCGTTTTCCTTTATGAGATTTATGTGCGAGCGAGTGTAGTGAAACATTCAAACTTTAATTCAAAAACTTCATAGCTTATAAACTAGGTTTAATATTAAAATTTCAAATAATTAATTAAATAAATAAAATCCAGATACTTAAATGTTTTGTATTGTATAGTTTTGCATTGTATAGTTTTGGTCAATGTAACAGAGATTTTAAAGTGTGTTGGTTTTGTTTTGTTTTTTTTTTCTAATTTTAATTTTTTTTTGTAGATTTTGAGAAAGACACCAAGGTTTCTTTCTAAAGAACTAGGTGATAATTTGATTTGTAAATTACATTTATTGTTTTTTCGTTTTGTGATTTGAGTGGATATCAGAAGTAATTTCGAACAAGGATGATTTGTGAGATTCAATTCTGGATGGCACACGATTGTTCTTGCATAAAGCATACCGTGAGAGATATCAGACCAAATAAATGTATTTATTGAATTGAATATAGTTAGATAATCAAAAGAAAAAAATTTGTAACTTTTCAATAACTATATTTTTTTTAAAAGTGTATTACTTTTGCATTTATTATGTAAATTTTGAAAAATACTTTCACACTATTTTAAAATATTTTTTAATATACGTATATAAATTTTTTGATCTTACAGCAAAACTTCAACAACTGTTTTCAATATAACTGGCTTTTTACAAATCAGCTCAACAATTTCAGCCAAATTGATTGTGTCTTAAAGCAAAATGATGTGCTGTTTATCACGTGTTCATTTTTTCTTGATTAACTTGTTTTTTTTTCCAAATATTTTATTTAAATTATGAAATTATATAATTTTAAAAAACATAACTTATGAATCATTTATAAACAAACAAAAACAAAATCTACAATAAACTTTTAAAAGTTAAATTTTTGAAAAAACTGAAAAACAAAAACTTCGTTAGCATTCATTGGTTTAAAAATATATTAGTATTTAGTACAAGTTATAAATCTGCAAATTGTGAACAAGGAAACGTAACATTTCATTAAAAATAAATCATGATTTGCATTATGAATTCAATCATTCATAAAACACTTAACTTAGTGGATACCATTTCTTGGATTTTAATTCATGAACACACTATTTATTTATTTTTAAATATTTTTTTATACGTTATTTTTGAGATTTTACAGGTAAACTATTAAGATGAAACTTAAGCAATATATTTTTGTAACACATATTAGACATGAAGACAAGACATTAACAGAAACCCACAAATAAAATTCAAACTTAGTAAAAATATATGTCAAAAACAATATAAACACTTTCCCTAGTTTATCTAATTACCTATACTTTAAGAGAAAGTCAACATTCCGCGAACATGACCATGACTTGTATGGAGAATCGTGTGCAAATTAAATTGATTAAAAGAGTAATGGAATGGGAACATTGCAAAGTTATAGTACCCAAATTCTAATTCAGCATTGGCACACAAAAACACACACGCCCACACACTTTTTTTCTTTCAGTATTCATACGTGAATATACATGAACGAACGCGCTAATTGGCTCAAATATCCGCTCAAAAAAGTAAAATAAATGAAAGAAAAATAATAAAATTGGAATACGTACATGAACTCAGAATGAAGAGACATGTACAGGAATAGACTTACGAGGGGAAGCCAGCGATGCCAAAAGCGGGTTGTCGACTGTCCAGCTGGAGAATTCATAATAGTCCTAGCTGGCGGCCTGACTGTGTCAACACGGGCTCCGGTCACCGGTGATGGGAGGCGGGGAAGGGGCGGGAGATTGTGTCTCCGGGCCCGGCCCGTCCCGTCCCGTCCATCCGAGTGGTTTCAGGGAGACTTCTGCCTGGCCTGTCGCCAATTTGCCTTCTTTCCTCTTTACTTCGTCTTCGTCTTCGTCTTATTCTTCTTCCTCCCCTTCTCCCGTTTGAACTATGATATGCTCTAGGGTTGCTTGGCTCTTCTCGTCGTTGTTTTTCCTCTCACTACCTCTCCTCGTTCTTTTCTCGTCTGTTGCACCTGAGTTGTAGCTTTACAGTTGCAGTTTAGGTTTGTGTTTCGCAAGGTGGTGAAGCGATTTTTAAGCCAGAAAACCGAGCGGGACGCGGAGAGTGCGATAGTCTGGGGGGGGGGGGGGGAGGGAGGGAGGGAAGCGGTAGTACGACATGAGTGTGCCTGCGGTATCCTCAAACGGTCAGCTGGACGCACAGATTGCTGAGCTCATACAATGCAAACCTTTATCCGAACTTGAGGTACGTGAAGCGGTGTTCCGTCTTGGTTGTTGTTGCTGCTGTTGTTGTTTGTTGTTGTTGTTGCCTAAGCGGATGAAGTTGTGGAGTCGTTTTTCTGCCGACTGGGCTCACGTGTTGCGACAGGAGGAGTTTAAGTTTTCTGTTGATTTGAAGAGTAAATCTGGTGAATGGTTGGAGGTTGAGAATCTTGAACTGTAGTTCGATGATGGTATGCCTTGGCTGCCAAAGGTTGAGTTTTTACTTGTAGGTGGACACTTGTTGTATATGGAGTTTACATTAACCAAAACGTTATGGCGAAATGAGCATGCGCTAGGGTGAATTTATTTCCTATTAATTCTTCGCTGTGCGTAGATGTCTCGAAGTGTTCGGCCTTAGTTCAACGGTAGCTACATAGGGTCTTAAACTACCCCTTTACTCGGGAAGGAACTTCTGCCAGTTTTTGAGCGGATATTTGAGCCATTTAGCGCATTCGTTCTCGTATTTTACGTTTTGGGTGTCTAAAGAACTAGATGAGTGGGAGGTTTGGGACTTTATGGAATGTGCCAACTGAAGCCGGCTAGTTTGGTCCCTAGACCCAGGTTGTCTAGATAGCAGAATTTTGAACTTTGTGGTACTATTTACTCGATAGCGATTCTTCAATTTGGACATGACATGCTCGATGATATTCGCAACCAGCCGAGTCCTCCTGGGTCACCTATAGGTTTCCTGAAATGGTAGGTGGGGATATTGGGAGATTGTCTCATTTTGTTACATAACTCAACTTTGCTCACGCTACGATTTCTTTTTACTGAGAGTACATTCTTGTGTTAAGTGGGACTGATCATAGCCTATGCTTCTGAAAGTCGTGCGTGACGGTGACTGTCTTCGATGACTCGCTCTTTGCACTTTATGATATAGCTGAATCGAACTTGGTTTTGTGACTTGTCAATCTATAGTTTCGAATTTTGTGACACACAGTGAGCGATTTTCTTCCTTTCGTAAGTTGTCCCCCATCGAGGGCGAAGATCACATGTCAACGAGAACATTTTATCAGGTTGATGTTAAAAGAAATGGAAGCATATTCTGGAGAGGCCAATGCAACACCTAAATTTGGGCCATATCAATTTCACCAGAATAGTTTTACAATAAAATAAAATAAAATAATAGCAATATTTTAAAACGATTATTGACGTGCGTGTCGTCCTTCATTTGCAATCTTTTGTAACCTGTATCTGTTCCGAGATTTTGCCCTTCGTATATCAAAGTATTCACGTATTTTTTATTTATTTATGTAAAGAATATGCTATATAGAGTCTGTTTTTGAGTCAGCCATGGCCATATCTGATCTAGACGTTCATATGTAGGGATTCTTAATTTTAATATTTCAGATAGTAGTGTTGAATTTCTGTAGTTCTTTAGAGGGTTCGGTAGTGACTAGAGACACTTGTGGAGCAATTGGTCATGCGGAGAATTCTGTTTGAGTTTTTGATCCGTCTTGCAGGTTAGAGGATTATGCGAGAAGGCAAAGGAAATTTTGATGCGGGAAAACAATGTTCAGGTACTTGTCTTCCTATCAATCATTCTCATTACTCTTAATCTGCCCATTAGTAGGAAATACTTTTTTGAAGTAATAGATAATTGTGGAGATCGCTTAGGTCAGCAGGATGCGATGAGTATGTCCTCATATCGAATCTGAAATTTAGCTGAGTGTACTGTTGAAACTTTAGATTTGAAGGGGTCTATCAACTATGGTTCGCACCTGAAATTATTATTATTATTTACTTATTTTAAATTATATATTATATTCACGCTATGGTTCAGCACGCTCAGGATGCGTATCTGACCCAAAACTCTGGAAATTTTCTGTGGTGGTGATGGGAGATAACAGCCAGTAAAGTGCCCTGTCACAATTTGTGGTGATATTCATGGCCAATTCCATGATCTTGCTGAACTCTTCCGAATCGGGGGAATGGTCAGTTCTCAATAATTCTCTTGTTGTTAGTAGCCCGCAAGTTTGTTAATTTATGGAAGCTCTCAAAAGCTCAAGAGTGTTCTCGAATTTTACAATCTTGTTTTTCCTGTTCGATATCTTTCAGAGGATTTTTGTGTTGATTGAAGTTTGTTGCTATGTGATAGTGTCCAGATACCAATTACTTGTTCATGGGGGATTATGTGGATCGCGGCTATTACTCAGTTGAAACCGCAACAGTAAGTTTTTATCTCATACAGTTTGACCATTTTCCCTTTGATAGTCTTTTTAGGAATTCTTCCATCTATTATCAACGAATGTTACTCCACTGCTGCGTTTCAGTTGTACGCTGCTAGAGTCTTCATTTTGTGGATATAACTTCCGACGATAGCAGCAGATTTTTAACCGTTGTTTTTAACCGACAGCTGCTGGTGGCCTTAAAAGTGCGATATCCTGATCGCATAACCATTCTCCGTGGTAACCATGAGAGTCGGCAGGTAATTTTTTGGATTCATGACACTGGCGGAACTCTCATCCTTTTTGAGTTACACCTTTCGTAGCATCTTATCTGTAGTGGTGGGATTTTCTGTTGCCATTCTGGTTGGCTTTGGCCATCAAAGAATGCTCTTCCTTATTGAGGTCCTGATGTGTCATTTTATGGTGTTTATATCAGATCACCCAGGTATATGGTTTCTATGACGAATGTCTTCGGAAGTAAGTCTAAAAATTCTAATTCTTTTTTGAGTGATTTCATTACGATTGTGCGACTCAAACTATTAACGGCACAAATCTTTAAATTAACTGAAATTATCTGCAATTATCTTCCAACAATCTGATCAGTATATCAACCTGAACCATACTAATGATATGTATTGTCATGAGGCCACCTAATCTAATCATTCTATCCTGGTTATTCATGCAGGTATGGAAATGCCAATGTATGGAAGATCTTTACTGATTTGTTCGATTATTTTCCTCTGACAGCACTGGTAAGGTTCTTTTACGCTTTGTGCCAACTGGCAGGTGTTCTCGTTTTATCTTTCAGGCTGTCCGCATTACTCTGGTCATCAAGTTCTTGTATTGTGTGTGGAGTTGGGGATTAGGAGTATCTCGTTATGATTTGCTTAGCACAGTCGGAAGTGTTCAGTTTATTGGCCAGTTATGTAACTAAAAAACAGAAGAAGCAGATCAGTGGTGAGTTTTCAATGGAGCTTCGATCATTGATGTGGACTCTGATCTGGATTTCTTTCTCCAGGTAGAATCAGAGATATTTTGTTTACATGGAGGGTTGTCACCAAGCATAGACTCTTTGGACCACATCCGTGATCTGGACCGAGTTCAAGAGGTTCCACATGAAGGCCCCATGTGTGATCTACTTTGGTCTGACCCTGATGACCGTTGTGGTTGGGGCATTTCTCCCCGTGGTGCTGGCTACACATTCGGCCAGGTGGTTGTCCTCTTCCAATGTACCTGTATGGTTCTCAAGTGGTTCACTAAATCAAGATTCAGACGAAGATGGACCAGTTATATAACTTATCATATCTTGTGGTGGTTGCTGATGCTACTCTTAATTGCGTGCAGGATATATCTGAGCAGTTCAATCACAACAACAATCTGAAGTTGGTCGCAAGGGCACATCAATTAGTTATGGAGGGTTACAATTGGGGACATGTAAGTTTTTTTTTTTTTTTTTTTTTTTTTTTTTTTTTTTTTTTTTTTTTTTTTTTTTTTTTCCGGTGCTGAGTCCCATGTTATCATTTTTTACGTTATTGTGGTTGTTCACTTGTGATATACATCTAAGTGCTTCTGGCTTTGTGTTAGCAGGAACACAAGGTGGTCACCATTTTCAGTGCACCTAACTATTGCTACCGCTGTGGTACGCTCCTTGCTCTTTCTTTTTTTCGTATTATTTATTTGTAATATTTGGAAGCATTTATATTTGGTTTGGGGTTATATAATTTGATCGATTGTTTTTTATTGCTTGCAGGGAACATGGCGTCTATTTTGGAAGTCGATGACAACATGGGTCACACTTTCATTCAGGTTCGTCCCTCGAATCCCATCTACCTCGAAAAAATCATGTGTACAGGACTGCAATTTTGGAAAAGACATTTCCACCATGAAATGAACATTTAGTGAGGAATATGGAACTAAATGCAATGTTTTGGTAGTAAAACGGGAGTTTTCTTCTACGTTTTATTTTTGTGAAGTATCTTTTTCATTGGTGTTAATTTTCTCTAATTCAGCGTGTCTTGCTGACTGCATCCAAATATGCTATTTTCGGACTCGTGACTTATTTTTCATGATTGAATGAACAGTTTGAACCAGCCCCAAGACGAGGCGAACCAGACGTGACGAGACGTACACCAGACTACTTCTTATAGTCGGACTTTCGGAGGTCATTGGTTTTTTAAGTATGCTTAGGGCCATTTTGGATAATCTGTCCTCCATGCACTCAATTATGTAGATTTTCCTCAGTTTAGCATGATGTTGCCGAGTGTTAGCAGCCTGGATGTTGCCAGAACCGCCACATCATCACTTGATGTGTTCTTATTTCGTCGAGCGGTCATGCTTTTCTGATATCGCGGTGTAGCCGAGTCTCTGATTGGGGTGTCATTGCTGTCAATAGTCCTTACGTGGCCGATTATTTTCACTAGACGTCTCCTATGTATTGAAGCAATTGCAGAGCAAGTCAGTACAACTACAGGGCTATGATGACAGCGGAATTTCGATTTAGAGTTAAGGCGGACCAGCGGTTCGTCTATAATGATAGTCATTGATTGGATACTCTTTTCAGAGAATAACTCGGCTGGTGTGGGATCTACCAGTGTAGCCGTTCAACCGGGCTCTTGTCAGGATCGGCTGGTGGTGTTGATGGAATGACTCTGTACAGGCATTTGGTGTGTACTAAGTAATGAGGATCCCGTTGTCAGGGCCCTTCAATATCCTTATCAGTTGTTGTCCTGTATGATATCCATTCTTACTTTGTAGTATGTTTTGTGTTTAGTTTGTGTTTTTTTTGCTCTTTTGGATCCTTTATAGTTTGTTGGACTTCAAGTCTACGACGAGTTTCGTTGATCTGGTGCCTGTCATGGTTGACTTTCGTTTTTTGAGTATGTGATCATAAATCAAATACCCAATGCTTAAAGAATTTTTGAGTCTGATGAGTGCAAGGATTCTTGAATGCATTAATGTCATGGTATGTGTTCACGTCACTGCAACTTCTATGTCCTTACCCTGTCAAATCTGGATGCAGTTGGTTACTCTTTCATATCAAAAAAAAAACATTGCTAATAACACATCCGCACACTAAATGAAATCTTAACAATACTCTGCTATCATAACATATCACATCAATTGCGATGATGGAAATGAGGAAAAGGTACCATGGATATTTCTGAAGGGTCCGGTGAATTGAATTATTATTGTTAATCTTTCCTTCAAAAAACTCACGGGATTTTCCTACACATATACAAAGTTTTGAAACAATTCACAAATCTTAACCATGAGATTTGTGTCTCATATTTCTTGTGTATTGAAAAAATACGTGTTAATATTTCTTAATTATATTGTTTGCATTGTGACAACTATATTGCAGATTGTTGTTCATTATTGGCTTCCTTTCCACATATTACTCCCACAGCAAACATAGGACCTCTAATGCTAGTATTTATCAAAGGTACACAGTTATATTCACGAATTGTAGATAATTCACATTTCAAGAATAAAATTTTATTTTTGATGGTTTTGTTTCCACTCTAACAATTAATTTTAAAATTTTATGCAATAATTTATGATCCAATACGAAAGGTAATTTAGGCAAACTGTTTTGTCTGTGCCTTGTCAAACACTGTTCCATTTGATTAGAGAATGAACACTATTTTTAAGGATTTCAATATCAAAATTTCATGCTGTGTAACAAATATTTTTCAAACTTTGATAGTTAAGAATAAAATATAGTAGAATCAGAATCCAAAAAGCATGACTAATCAAAAGTAGAATCAAAAGTTAGGACACAAAGCATGCCTAATCAAAAGATAAATAAATAAAACACAATAAAATCTTGGTCATTGACTGAATGTATTTATAATACCATGCATAGATTAATTTATTAAAACACATACCTTTATTTATTTATTTATTTATTTTTTACTCCTAAGTTTTGAGAAATCAAATTTGATTTCAGAATATCAAAAGATAAACTCTCACGGAAAGTATCAAAATTCAAAAAGTTAATAAAGATTTTATTAGTTTCCACATAAAATTGAACAATTCATAAAAATAAGATTCAACTTAAAAGTATGCAACCTACACAACAATCGAACAAGTAACCAATTAAAAAATCATTTTTTGAAATATATATATTATTTAATTTAAAATTTTCCCTTTCATATCAAAGAATTATTTTCACAATTTATATAAAAAAGAACCCAATAATGAGAAAGGAACAAATTAATTACAAACTTGGAGAATGTCGAGATGCGTGGAGGAACGGGCCGGGTGGGCCTGGTGAGAACCCGTTCCCGTGCGCAACCCGGCGTCCTGTGACACTCACACGGGCTGGGTCGTGGCGCCATGTGGAACCCCCGGGCCCGGCCCGACCCGGCCCGCGCGGGCCAAAGCCGTCGTCTCCAGGCAACAACCCTGAAGCCAGAAGAAGAAGTGTGTCCAAAGCTGAGAGTTGAATCTGTTCTCCTTCCTCTGTTTCTCTCGCACTCTCGCGCTCTCACATTGCTCCGCTTGCGTTTTTATGCCTTCGAGGTGGGTTTCACAGTGACCCTAGTGATAGAATACGGTCGAGGAAGGTCGGGAGCGGTGTGAGTTTCGAAGCATTTGTGCGGAATCTGCGCAATCGAGGTGTCAGGGACGAGTGCGCCCGGTGGAGTGGAGCAGCTTAGGGGGGCGACATGAGTGTCCCTCCGGTATCGTCCAATGTGCACGGGCAGCTGGACGCACAGATTGCTCAGCTCATACAATGCAAGCCTTTGCCCGAGCTTGAGGTTCGTCCACCTTGCTCTTGCATCATCTGTTGTTGCGAATCCGTTTCAGCTAGAATTTTGGGTTAGGTCTTCTATTGCCGGTTGGTAAGTTGTGGATCAGCTTCGAATGTCGCGCTTGGACGTCTGTTTGCATGCTTCCTGGACTTTGTTTTCTGAGTTGGGGTGGCGTGGTCGCTTCTTGGGTGGAAGTGACGCCTTGGATGATCAGGGCGCTTGCGTACATATGTCTGGTTTAAGAGCTTCGCCTGTGGAGGACTGTACACCTCAAAAGGGTGTGTCCTCGTGGGAGACCCTTTGTTTTCCCACAATGAGGGTCACTTTTAACGTTCCGGTTAACATTCCCGTCCTAACCAAGCAGATATCTCCGCAGAATGATTTGTTCAATCTCAACTTGCGTAGTCCCTCCCCATGTGATTTTTCGGGCGAAGAAATGTAGGGGTTGATTATCTTCGAGACTGGTGTTGTTGCTGGAGTCATCTGAAGCAACAAATGTACCGCATAGGGAGTCAAATATTCAGATGTAGTGTATTGTAGATTCAACTGTTTCAGTGATTGCTGGATTCTAATTCTGTAGAACTTTTTCTGGTTTATAAGACAGATATTGATAAATTTTGGTAGGTCTGAATAACTTCTGAAAACTATGTCAGGTTTATTCCTACCACTTCCAGTAGCTCTTCCCTCACTGGTGCTTTGCATGCTTGGAAGATTGCAGGAACATAAAAATCATTCAGTTGGGATATCTGATGGGTTGTTAGAGTTGTAATCCAGGTTAGAGCATTGTGCGAGAAGGCGAAGGAGATCTTGATGGAAGAGAACAATGTTCAGGTTTGTGCTTTTCAAAGTAGCTATGCTCAGCCTGCTAATTACTCGCATCCTTTCATTACGGGCGGAGTCAAAGACATGGTTTAGAGTTGAATTTTATGGTGATTAATGGAAGGATGCTTAGATTGCAAGGTGACTAATTACCTCAGCAAGCTAACAGTTCATTATGACTCTTGGTTGGGTTGAAACAGCCTGTGAAGTGCCCTGTTACTATATGCGGAGACATACACGGCCAGTTCCATGATCTTGCGGAGCTATTTCGGATCGGAGGAATGGTCTGGTTTTCTTCCCTCGATTCCTCCTCTTGTTGGATGTGTTTCATTTGATCACTTTTAGTTAAATGCTTTTGTTTATTCAAGTACATTGTACAATTACATTTAGTCCAGCAGCAGAGGTGCAAGAAATGCATGTGATGCCCACAGTGAGTTTGTTTCCTATGATAGTGCCCAGATACCAACTACTTATTCATGGGCGATTACGTTGACCGAGGTTACTACTCTGTCGAGACGGCTACAGTGAGTATCCCATTTCTTTTATTATATAGTCAGGGTTCAATGCCTCGTACTTGGTATGTCAATGATGAGGGCTTTGATACGGAACTAACCTCTACTAACATGGAGTATTGTAGAGGGAGTTGATGTACTACGAGTGTATGCCACCCTTGGTTTTCGCCATGTTCTGCCTCACAAGCTTTGTACTTTGTGGTCATGTTGGTAGTGCATGTAATCGTGGCTACCTATGACTCGGGTGTTGGACTGTGACAGCTTTTGGTGGCATTGAAGGTTCGGCACCAAGACCGTATAACCATCTTGCGTGGAAACCATGAGAGTCGGCAGGTAAAACCGCTTGAATTAGAAGCTCCATACTTATAACTATGTCTTTTGCAATCATAATTCTGCCTCAGGTTGTTTTAAAATACTCTTTTTCGATATTGTAGCCCAGAGTTAATGGTGTTTATGATTTTTTACGTTGCTTGGAGCAGATTACTCAAGTGTACGGATTCTATGACGAGTGTCTTCGAAAGTGAGTTGAACTTGATTACGTATTTGCCTTATCTAACTTGAATAATTTCCCTCATTCAAGGCACGCGATTTTTGGATTTTTAAAATTTTCCCTCATTATTGCTTTGTGAAATGGAGTAGTTCTTCCCATGCTGCTAGGCAACTCCAGTATTTCCCCTAGTATTTTCCTTTTTTGAATTGGCTTTGTAGCAGTTCAGAGAGGCGTTTTGTAGTGATAGTACATGATGTGCTTTCAGGTATGGAAATGCCAACGTTTGGAAGATTTTTACGGACCTTTTTGATTATTTTCCTTTGACTGCCCTGGTAAGGTTTCTTCTGGCTCATCGTTGAAGAATGCAGTATGATAAGATGTTCTGTATATTTCAATAGTGTATGCTTCAAAAGTGGTTAGTATGTAAATATTGTTGATTACCAAGTGGGTTTGTTGATTGAAACTTTATCAACAGGTTGAGTCAGAGATATTTTGTTTGCATGGAGGGTTGTCGCCAAGCATAGATTCATTGGATCACATTCGTGACCTGGATAGGGTGCAAGAAGTTCCACATGAGGGTCCGATGTGTGATCTGTTATGGTCCGACCCTGACGACCGTTGTGGATGGGGCATTTCACCTCGTGGTGCTGGCTACACTTTTGGTCAGGTATATGTGCTTCACTGTGTTCATATTAGTCACCTTTAGTAACTATTTTAAAGTTTTTTGTTCCATCTCGTGTTTAAGCAAAGCTCACTGCATGTGTGTGTGTGTGTGTGTGTGTGCATGAGTGAATATTATTATCTTGAATTTTTGCAGGATATTTCGGAGCAGTTTAACCACAACAACAATCTTAAGCTTGTTGCAAGGGCTCACCAACTAGTTATGGAGGGTTACAATTGGGGGCATGTATGTTTCTCACATATATTCCCACTTTCTCTTTTTATGTTGCTTTGGATGGGTTTTTCTTTCTATTTTTTAAGCTGGAAAATGTCACTGGCTGTTTGGTGATGGCTAGCATCTTATATTACCTTTCATGTACTCAGGAACAAAAGGTGGTCACTATATTCAGCGCACCTAATTACTGCTATCGCTGTGGTAATGCCTTTCTCCTTCTCTGGTTTCCGTTTGTGTTTCTTATCTTTTCAAATAGTGGCATTTTGTTGCTCCTTGTTGCAACCGAGTCTAGCACAGCCTCTACCACCGTGTGACCTTGAAGTTCTGAGAGGATCTGTGTCATGTAATTACTTTTGGGTGTATTTACTTTCAGTGTTTCCTTCATTCTGTAGTCTGGTAATTCGAATTAGTTAAGACTTTTCTTGGTGGCATTTCTTCTTATTAAGTTAAATTTTCATGTATTAGCTTGTTTTCCGTATCTTTCAGAGCAATGCCAGACAAGTGTCTCCCGTATTCAAGGTTTATCAAATATCGTGTGAATATGTCTATATATATATATATATATATATATATATATAACGCAGTTCATATAGCAATATATTTATGTTGGCATATCATATTGCAGGTAATATGGCCGCTATACTAGAAGTCCACGACAACATGGCTCACACATTTATCCAGGTTAATTCTTTGCACGAAATCATCAGAATAGCATATTCTTAGCCAAACTGCTACATTAGACATATCATCATGTTAGTTTGATGGTCACCAAGTACTTATTCATAAGCAGATAGCAATACATCACGTACCGAAGAGTTTCTGTTTACACATGTGTCGTAACATTTCTGGCTTTTTTTTAACACTCTTGGAATAATACTTGGTTATTTTTCTTCGGATGATGGGTGTTTGAATTATGCGGATTCAATATAGACTAACTTAGATGCTTGTGGTTTGGATTTGTCGCAGTTCGAACCAGCTCCAAGACGGGGTGAACCAGATGTCACCCGGCGTACGCCCGACTACTTCTTATGACACGACATGTACGCGACTTGGTTGTTAAAGCATGCGTGACCTAATTTTTAGAAGTTTGTTCCAGCCTGTACTAGTGATGATCAAGGTTCTTTTCTGGTAGTTAGCGAGGTGCTGCCAAGCATTGGCAGCCCCACTTGGTTGCGGGAAGCACGTTTTGTCATAAAAGTGATGTAATTTCTAGGCTATGAAAGTACATGTAGGTAGTCACGTTGCGCTTGATTCTTCAGTCTCCGTAGTGGGTTCATACTCTTTGCCACTGCAGAGCTGCTCTTTAACGTTTGCTCCTTGTTTAATTATAATTAATTCTACCTTCAGACACTTTCATTTTCAATTTCATAAAAAGAAAATACTGTAACCTGGAATTTGTGATTGTCATGTTTTTGGGTAGTTAGATCTGAGAATTGTATGCGTATCTACATGGTTCTGTAATAGTGTAGGATTTATTAGTGATTGGTTTACGTTAATAAAAGGTTTTAACTTAATATAAACTTGAAAAAAGCCTTGTTCCTCAATTTTTTCTGCCTATATTGTTTTAACAATTTAAAAATTCTGACCTCGAAATTGTCTATGATGATTCTATTTCCACAATAATCAATTTTTACTTATAGTAAATATCCTAAAAACAATGTTATTTACAAACTATTAAAACGCAAAGTCACATTCCACGTATTAATAACTCTCTTTGTTATTTTGGTGTTTTTTTTGTTATTTTTTTTTTCCCCATCTTCTGAGTTATTGAAAGACATTTCTTAAAAATTAAACCAATATCTCCTAAATTTATATCTATTTAAATATGTTTCTGTGTGTGTATTTCTGGAATCCTTCTCTGTTGATATCACACGAGTTTATCAGTCATGTATTCATGTTTCTAGATGTATTTTAATTTTATTTTAAAAACTCAAGCCAATTAAATTAACAAGAAAATAGAACATTGTATGATAATGAGACAAAAAATAGAATTTGTAAATTATTTCAAGTAAATTGTAGTTTTAGAGTATAAAACCCCTCATTTAAAATTTTGAAATTTTATAAATTAGGAGTGCAGTTAATTGTAAAATATAAATAGGAATATTTCAGACTAATTGATTGGTTGAAATATCTTAACAATTGCAACTTTGTCTAATTTTTCTACAAAAAATCATATAGCGATTAATGAGAATGTCCATTTTCAAGATAATAATAGAGCATATTCTTTGCAAGATGCTGTAGGAATTGTTAGAAATTTTTTTAAAAGTATATGACAGTTAGTACTTATCAGGAAGTTATTTTAATTTAGGGTTATTTTTTATTTTTGTTTGTAATTGTTATTACAATAAATATTAAATAAAAATTTAAAAAACTCATCAATTGTAATTAATGTTGTTAAGGTAAAATAATTTTAATGTATTTATCTTTAATGTATTTTGATATTAGAAGTTTATCATGTTATTGATAGTAATTAATTATTTATTTTCATCTACTAATATGTGACAGAATTGCTATAGTTGAAAAAGTTAAACTTACCAGTAATTAGCTTGTTGATTTAATTAAATGTATATTACTTCCTTTAAGATGGAAACCAAATTGTTAGATGAAAACTCCCACTACATAAAGATTAGAAGTTGTGATTTGAAAAGGTTGGAGTAATTTCTTACAATGAGGTAAATTTATGCAAGAAATATTGACTAATTTGGAAGTTCTCTAATGTATTTAAACGAATAGTTTTTGGACTTTTAAAGATTGCTACTATTAGATTTGAGATGACTATATATTTTTAGAATTACATTTCTTTGAAGGATTCAAATAAGAATAATAATGACATGACTATAAATTAGAATATGTACAGAATATTTGTAAACTGACATATTAAAGATAATGCTTGTATTTTGGAAAGAGTTAATATAATAGTTTAACTTTATCTCTTGTAAAGTCTAATTTTAGAATTGATCATCTTTCTAAGTTATACAAAATTGTTTAACTTTCAAAGAATTAATGGTATTTCAAGGATGAAGGATTGTAAGAATATTAATAAAATTTAAAAATTCTTAGAAGCTTGTAATTTCCACTATGTTTGAGTTCTTTATTTTGTAAATATATGCTTTTATATATATTCAAGCGTTTATACAAGTTATTAAGAAATAAATATTATATTTATTTTGGAAACAAGACCAATAAATAGTCATAGATGTATTAAATATTTTTTAAAGTCTCTTCTATTAGTGAAACATATCAATTATTAATACAATGGATTGGTAATATTAGTGATTTTGAAAGAAATCAATTTGCTATTCAACTTGAGACTAGAGTGTTAAAAAATTGTCAAAAGACATATTCTTAATTTACAAATCTTTTAAGGTGCAAGCATTACTTAGAAGTTTGAAAACAACCTAATTGGGACCAATTTTATATTCAAAATATTCTATTTAATTTTACTTTTTTAGAATGATTTCTTATTTATTAGCACCGAATATTGCAATATTATAAAAGATTAAACTTATAAACCAAAATATAGTTTAGTGATTTATAAGTTCAAAACTTATTTATGATGTTAGATTATTTTTAAGTATATTAAATATAATCTAATATCTCTTAATTAATCCATAAATTAAAAAAATAACTTATATCATGATTCCATGTTACATGCTAATTAAATTGATGACAAGACAAAAAAAAATGAATGTCTTTAATAAGACATTTTCTTCTTTGTTGTTTTTATCTTGAGATGATGGCATTAATACAAATAGATAAATAATTAAAATGATTGTTGGAACTTAGAATTCAAAGCATATAATTTTTTTGATAGGATCCATTGCTTAGAGCAAAGAGTAATCTAAAAAGACAATTAGATGTCGATATATGACAACATTCGAAAGGATTAGCATAATACAATGCATTAATTTTCACAAAGATGTTTTAGACTATGTGTTGTAGTAAGTGTCCATAATAATATTTTTTTCTTACTTGTTGTGTTAAATAAAACTTTCTTAAAAATTTTGCTTGGAAGAAAAGAAGCAAAATCATTTAAATAAAAGGATGGTTAGTCTTGTATTAAATATTTTGAGGTCATTAGTTTCATAAATGAAATCAAGAAATGAAAAATGATTATTTAAATATAAGGTCAAAAATATTATTACAAAGAAAAATATGTGAATTTTTAGAAGGACTAGATATTATATTATAAATATTTTTTTAGTTTTATAATATTATGAAAAAAAATTACAGAAATGTCATTTAAATTTTGTTTGTAATACAAAGTGGTTGTTAGATATACAATGCAAGAAGGGATTGAAACAAATTAATTATGAGGATCATAGTATGAACATTGCCTTACACAAATTAGTTCAAAGGCTTATAATCTATATATAAAGACCGCTCAAGGAGACAAGTGGTGGCTTTCATTCACCACATGGATTGGTCTTTGTTTTCATCAAAGAGATTCATGTTTTATGGGGTTCACAACTAGTTTTATAGTTCATCACTACATTTTGTAGTTGATTGGGGAATTCTAAGGGTTCAAGTAGTAGTTCTTGATGGTTGCATGGATGGATCTTCTTTTTCATCAAAAAAGTTTGCCTTCTGTAAAGTTCATAAGATGTTCCATAAGGCATTTTACAAATAAATCAGAGCATTCTACATGGCATTTTACAATTAATTAAGGTATTTCATAGGGGATCATAAATTGTAAGAAATGACTCAAAGCTTTGAAAGACGCTTTGATTGATGAGCAACAACAACTTTTGATTCACATGGCCTCAGAGTCTCTCTGAATACTGCCCAAATGAAAATGAACTCAATCAAGTTTACTTGAGTAGACAACATTCACACCATTCTGGATATTTCTCTCACAAAGGCAACCGGTTTCTTAACTCCCACATGTTTCCAAACTACTAAGAATTCTTTTTGGAGAACCATGAAATCTTAATTGCTTATTACTGAGGTAGATTCTATGGATAAAAAGACTCTCAATATCTTTATGTATATTTTTTAATCTTTATAGATTTATATTTTCATATTTATAATTTTATAATTTTATATTTATAGATTGAATATTCTTGAAGGGAATATCAAAAGCAAATCAGGATCAAACAAGTGCAGTGTTAGCCGGGTATTAGATGTGTCCCGGGCATGAACTGGAACACCGCATCCGGGTATAGGACGCTTATACCATGTTACCGGGTTTCAACTAGGGTACAAAAACACATAGAAGCCGAGCAGAGTTTAGCTAAGTACAAAGCAAGGAAATTTGGAATTTATTGCTCAAAAGAAATTAGAAACAAGAAAAAACCAGAGGTGGGTTCATAAGCAAAATGGGTGATTAGAGGAGAAGATAAATCTAAACAGACAATGCAACAAAGGAAGGAGAAAAACAAGGAAACTTAGGAAAAAATAAATAAAAAATCAAACTATTTGAACGGCAAAGAGAAAAAATAAAAGCGAGATCAACAAGCTGCTGAATCTTCTCAAAACCCATAGTTTTTGCAGAGGGTTTAGTGAACAAGGTTGCCTTGTGGAGGAGCAAATATAATTATGGAATGGAAAGAGAATTATTATAACTACAGCAGTACAACTTTTAACTACGTTTTAGTAATTTAGTTATTTTTTAAAATTATTATTATTTTCATTACTTGTACAATCTAACAAAAAGTGATTCTATAGGAAAAATTGTAATATGTGATAGTGCTTGATTGCATCAATCACAGTCTTTTATTTCCAAGTTATGATATTGTATATTTAAAAAAATTCAATTAAACAAATTAATCCAAAATAATATTATAGAAAGCATTCTACTCAAAATAATTAATTGTAACAATATACAGATTATAAAAGATTCTATGTTGAAATAAAATTTGAGTGAACAATAAATAAAATATATATATATATATATATATATAGCCATATTACATTGTTAAGATGTTCTTAACATTATGAATCTTAATTAAGTTTTTATGAATATTTTGTAATGTCTAATAGACAACCACGAATTGATAATTTTTTATATTGTGGATTTGTCAGAAAAATAACTAGCTTAAATAGGAAAACAACATCCTCGATACATCCTTCAACTGTTGTGATTATGACAATCTTAATATCATATATCAAATGGTAGATATTGACTTACTAGCATCTGTAATGTTGTTATCATTTTTATACTTATTACAGTCAAAATAATAGAGGAACACCTTTATAATTTATTTGATAAAATATAATTTAAAAACAAATAAAATATACCATTATAATCTTTGTTTTTTGAACTTTTGTAACACTATACAATACAAAATATAATTATAAGTTTCATGTATAAATAATTTTAATTACAAAATAAATTTGAAGATTTGGGATCTTATTACCCATGTTTTCTTTCTATATAATAATTTCACTTATTAAAAATACTATTACATATTCAAAGTACTATTACATATTCAAAATAATATTACTTATTTATTATTTCTATATAAAATAAATATATTGTTTACATAACATACAATGTAATTTTATACATATGAAATTAAATCATATAGTTTGTTATTTAAAATTAAAATTAAAAAATATTTTTTCAAAATAAAAAGATGTATAAATACTTTTATAACAATTTGTTGACAAACAACAAAAGAAAATTATGAATAATGTAATAATCTTTTTATTAAGGATACAAACTTAAAAGTATTTTGAGTTGATATATAGAAATCTGTTTCACTTTCCCTCCCTCACAAACACATATTAGTATATAATACTTATAATCTTCTAATATTATTTTATTTTGTTGTATTATTTTAGAAAATGGATTTAAAAGAAGTTTTAAAGACAAAATTAATATACATGAATGTAAATAAAGAAGAATACATTATATAAACATCAAAATAAAAACAAAAATTAGATAGTAATGATTTAATATAGCTATTGGCAAGTAAAAAAAGAATAAGAAGTCTTGAACTAAGATTGGAATATAAAAAATAAATTAAAAAGATTAAAGATAGCTTGAATTTGATCCTTATATATATTAGCCAACAAAGACGTTGTGCAAAAACTTATTGAATAATATAAAACTTATAGATAAGTGTCTTAGTTATAAGGTGCTTCTACAATGATTTTTTAAAATACAAAAAACTTCTTTTAAGAGTTTTTCTGGCCACTTGGTGTATCTAATGACACTTGTAGATGTTATTTGCATTTACTAAAATTTCATAATATTCTATGAAGAAGGCAATTAAAATAAATCTTTATTTTATTTTATTTATTAAGATAGCATGGATAGTATTGACATTTTAGTATCTTTAATGAATATACAAAGAATAATTGATGACATAATCAAATAAAACTTTATTTGTACATACAATAAAAAGGAGAAAAAAAAGTAAATACTAATGTTAATAATACTTGATTTCTATCAATAAATTTAGGCTTATAAGAGATACAATAAAAGTATTGTAAGCCCTAAGAATAGGTATATTGTAATAAGTTTTTTATTTTATTTTATTTTATTTTTTATACATTCTCAAGAAATAAAAATTCTATGTATAAAATTTATTGAAAACATATTTTGAAACCAAAAGTTAGTCTAAATATTGATATTAACTTCATATTAAAAAAATTACTTTTCAAACAATGCTTTATTAAATACCAAATTCTATATTTAACTTAAAATAAGCTGTAATATTCAATTTTTTATAAAACAACCTTATTTTAGATGGTATCTTTTAATTTTAATTTTTGATTATGACTGCAATAACAAACTAATAGCCATTTGTTTTTACATGAGCTATTATTTGCTCATTTTTACTTTCTCAACTTACAATAATATATTCTTTATATTTACTAGTTTAACAATTCTATTAGCTTATATTTTTTAATAAAATTTATATTTAAAATACATCATAAGTATTTTGATAAATTTCTTCTTGAAAATTAAAATAGGCATCTAAAATGTGGTTGTCATTATGATAGGTGAATTGTCAAATTTTATTAAAAAAAGTTCACAAGCCTAATCTAATTGGACATAAATTAGCTTTTTGTTTTTGGGTTTTAACTTTATTTTTTTATTAAAAAAATCTTTATTCATGTAAAAAATGTATGCATACAATTTTTATTTTATTAACATTATTTAAATATAACATAATTTAAAATCTAAAGCTAATGCTTACAAAAAGATTGTCATTTAAAAAATGAAATGAAATCAATCAACCACAACTTTAGCAAAACTAGTCCTAAAATTAATTCCATGGATGTATACTATTCCACAAATTAACAATAATGGGATAATATTTAAATATAGAGTATAGCCTTAACTTCTTGTCATTAAACTTTTTAAACAGTTTAGCCTTAACTTCATTACCCTAAACCCTATACCAAGGATAAGATCTTTTTTAAGTCTAACCAATACCAAAGACTACATTATGCATAGTGAAAAAACAACCCTCCCTTTGCATAAAGTTTTGAACCTAAAACTATATGAAAAGGTTTTAGGTTCAAATTAGTGGTGGACATACCACCCTATCTTGTATATTGATTTCCAAATATTGTTATATTGTATTGTGTTTATTGTATATTTTTTCCACATGGGCTCATCACTCTTATTTCCGTTGCCCCCCCCCCCCCCCTCTCAAGATGAACAAAACACAAAGAAAGGATTTTTAAGTGAATCCAAATTTTTAACTTGGACAAACACCAATTAAATAAACATTCGTCATCCTTGGGATCTGGGCTAAGGGTACCTTCACCAATACCATCAATTGCACTCCTTCTCTTTAATAACAAGGTAGGAAAAGAGCTTTAAAGCCCCTTAATCATTCCCAACACAATAAAAAAACAATACATATATATACCCACACATAAATCCCTGTACACATATACAAATTTATTTATATATATATATATATATATTAATATAAATACCTATAAATATAAATATTGTTTATAGTTGAAACAACCACGGATTTTTGACGCACCAAAGACAAAACCCGAAACCAAAATATCGCCACCCTCGAGGAAGGTTCTGCCTGGGCTGAGGAGGGTGACCTGGCACAAAGCGATAGGCGAAAGCGCGGGACCGAGGACGCCGACGTGGCAGGGTGACGATTCCGAGCCTCACGGCAATAACTCCTTTTTAAAACCCGCACGCTGATCAAACCGGGGGGGGGTGGGAGGGTTGGGGGGGGGGGGTTGATTGATTAGTGGTTCCAAGCTCCGGGGAACCGCGTTCACCTGCCTAAAAGCCTGCAAAGATTCTGCCCGCTGTCGGGAACCACGAGAACGCACTTTTGGGAACCTGACCGTGTTCCCAAAAGGTTCCCGAACGGGGGGACGGGAAGGGAAGCGGAGCCGGGGGTGCTCATCAGGGCTTCCGACAGCGCTGCCGATGGCCTGATTCCGTGCGGATTTGGCTCTTGTGGTGAGGAACTAGATCAGTGGACGTGCCGATTCTTCCCGTGCGCCATTGTCTACTACTACTACTTCTCTTGCGAAGCTTTCAACGGCTGAAATCACCCACCCACCTAATTTTTCACTTGTCGTTTTGGAGTGTTTTTGTGAGAGGGAGTGACGACGAAGAACTTTGCAGATGAAGATTGCGGGCGGTTTTCTGGTTTTGTGACGGAAGATTTGGTCGCGTTTGGTTGAAATTCTTTCATTTCGGAGCAGTGGGTGTAGTGGATACCAGCTGTTTCATGGTTTGGTGAAGCTCTCACTAGGTTTGGTTTGTTTTCTTTTTCGGCGTGGTGATGAAGGTGATAGCTCAAAACGGAGTGATGATCGTGATGGGTTTGTGAGATGTTGGTGTCGATCGGGCGGTGGTGGAGAGTTTTAATGCAGTTATGTGATGTGGGAGAGAGAGGGTTGTAGGGATGTAGAAGTGTTGGAGGTGGGACAAGTTGGGGGGAGCTCGTCGTGGTGTGTGATTGTGCTGGCGGCGTGAAGGTCGAGCGTTGGAGGCAGGGTACCCTTTTTTTTTTTTTTTTTTTTTTTTTTTTTTGGGAGGGGGGGGGGGGTGTATGGCGGAAGGGGAGAGCCGGGATTACCACAGCAAGGGTCCCGCAGTCAGAGACTCGCGAGGGGATTTTGTGGAGAGCTTCACTGGTGCGTCGGATGACAATGACTACAGAATGTTGATCGTGGGTCACATACTGCCGTTGACAGCAAAACGCGGTCCCGACAAGCAAGGTTGGACGTTCACTTGGGATGAGGACTCGCTTGCGCTGCAGCTCAAGGCGGGGCTGCCTAAGGATATGGAGGTAATTTACATTGGTTGCCTGAAGGTGGAGGTTGACGACAGCGAGCAGGATGAAGTAGCGGCAACCTTGCTTGAGAATTTTAATTGCGTCCCTGCGTTTTTACCTTTGGACGTGCGGACGCGTTTCTACCATGGTTTCTGCAAGCAGATGCTATGGCCCCTATTCCACTACATGCTACCCCTTAGCCCCGAGCACGAGGGGCGTTTCAACAGATCTTTCTGGCAAGCATATGTGTCTGTTAACAAAGTGTTCGCTGACAAGGTCATGGAGGTCATTAGCCCAGATGATGACTATGTGTGGATCCACGACTACCATCTCATGGTGTTGCCAACGTTTTTGAGGAAGAGGTTCAACAAAGTAAGGCTTGGGTTTTTCCTGCACAGCCCATTCCCTTCGTCAGAGATTTACCGAACGCTACCTGTGCGAGACGAGATCCTTCGGGCTCTCTTGAACGCTGACCTTATTGGATTTCACACTTTCGACTATGCCCGCCATTTTCTGTCATGTTGCAGTCGAATGCTAGGGTTAGAGTATGAATCGAAACGGGGTTACATTGGATTAGAGTACTACGGTAGAACAGTGGGAATCAAGATTCTGCCAGTAGGTATACACATGGAGCAGCTGAACGCAGGGTTGGCGCTTGCTGATACGGAATGGCGAATATCGGAGCTTAGGACACAGTACAAAAACCGAACGGTGTTTCTTGGGGTAGATGACATGGATATCTTTAAGGGCATAGGTCTGAAGTTCCTTGCTCTTGAACAGCTACTGCGACAGCACCCGAAATTGCGGAACAGGGTGGTGCTTGTGCAGATTGCGAACCCTGCACGAGGCCGGGGAAGAGACATTAAGGACCTACAGAATGAGGCTTACACCATCGCTCAGAGGATCAACGATGAGTTTGGTAACGAAGCCGAGGGGTACACCCCGGTTGTATTACTTCAGAGAAGTGTCCCATTTTATGAGCGAATTGCGTACTACACGATTGCAGAGTGTTGTGTCGTGACAGCTGTGCGGGATGGCATGAACCTCATTCCGTATGAGTACATTGCGTGTCGTGAAGGCAGCCCCGATTTGGATGCGGTGGTGGACCATGGTCCAGGCCCTGCCCCTTTAAAGAAGAGCATGCTCATTGTGTCGGAGTTCATAGGTTGCTCTCCATCTCTGAGTGGGGCAATTCGTGTGAATCCATGGAATATAGAGGCTTTGGCAGAAGCCATGAACATGTCCATCACTCTGCCAGACATTGAACAGCACATGCGGCACGAGAAGCATTTTCGATATGTGAATACACACGACGTGGCGTATTGGGCACGTAGCTTCATGACCGATCTCGAGCGCACATGTAAAGGCCATGCTCGACGAAGGTGCTACGGTACTGGTTTTGGATTGGGCTTTAGAGTTGTCGCTCTCGATCCAGACTTCCGGAGACTTCGAACGGACCTTATTGTGTCGGCATATAAGAAGAGTATGAGCCGGGCCATTCTGTTGGATTACGATGGCACCATGATACCACAAGCGTCCATCAACAATCCTATGCCCACCCCAGAGGTGTTGGCTATGTTGAAGACACTTTGCAACGATCCCAAGAACTTTGTGGTCATTGTTAGTGGTCGTCCTCGCGATATTTTGAATGAATGCTTTTCGTCATGTGAAGAACTCGGTCTTGCAGCTGAGCATGGCTTCTTCTACAGGTACTGTATATCTTTTCGAAAGCTACTTGCTTGTTACCTCTTATTGAATGTTCCTAAATAGTTCGGTGTTTTCTGGGGCCGTATCATTGTTGTCATTTTACTTTTCAAAATTTTCTCTTCACAATTGTTCTTTTATCAAAAAAAATGTTTTACATACTTCCGTATTGGCAGGTGGCATCGGGACGAAGAATGGGTGACTTGCAGGTATCAAAGGGAGGATTTTGACGACCATGAAAACGACCACATGGAGTGGAAGGAGATCGTGGAACCAGTGATGCAGCAGTACACAGAAAGTACCGATGGATCTTACATCGAGCAGAAAGAGAGCGCCATGGTTTGGCATCATCGTGATGCTGACCCTGATTTTGGTTCGTGGCAAGCGAAAGAACTTCAGGATCATCTGGAGAGCGTGCTTGCCAATCAACCTGTGACTGTTAAGAGTGGGGCACACATTGTGGAAGTGAAGCCTCAGGTAAAATTCTACACATGACTGTTTCTAGCATGACGTGTAATTATAGCTTGACCGAATCTAATTTCGTACGTGGGGCCGAGCAGGGCGTGAGTAAAGGGGTGGTTGTGGAAGAATTACTGGCGATGATGGCTCTTAAAAGCGCTGCTCCGGACTTTGTTCTCTGTGTTGGTGATGATCGCTCTGATGAAGACATGTTTGAGAGCATTGCTACGGCAACAGCCCGGTCAGGACTTGCTGAGGTGTTTGCGTGCACTGTTGGTCAAAAGCCAAGCAAGGCAAAGTATTATCTAGATGATATTGCCGAGGTTATCAAGTTGTTGCAAGGACTCGCTGCTGCCTCGGATCCTGGTGCCACTCCTTCCGGCTTACCCAGTGCCACTTCTTCGCAAGTTTCCTTAGAGACGTCTTTGCACATCTAGGTATTCCGATCTTGGCTTGCTATGAGTGTTTTTTTTTTTTTTTTTTTTTTTTTTTTTTTTTTTTCTCTCTTAGCATTACATTGTCAAAATTCATCGTCATACCGTCGCTTTTGACAGTCACTGCATTTAGAGGATTCTGGCTTTGGTTCTTTGACATTGGTCTATCCCACTTTTGATTTCTGTCTCAGCTTTCTGCATACTTTGAGAAGTATTTGTGACCTGAATTGTGGTTGGTGTGCACTTTTAGCTAAAATTGTATGTCTTATATTATCATCACGTGGACCTGAATTTCTTCTTGATCTGTGACGTTGAGTAAAATGTATTGTGCAATCGGCTTCTTATGAACGTGGTTTGTAACACAAGGCAATGCAGGAATGGCTCCTACTTCTGTCTGAGAAACAATAGATTGATTGCAATTTTTGTTTAGATACGTGCTCATCTGTATATTTAAAGGCTGCAGCTGTCCGCATCCTTCCAGTTATGTCAATTGCTGGTGTGCAAAGGTCATATTTATCATGGAAAAGTTCTGACACTTCCCTGTATGCTAATACGATATGTGTGACCCAGTTTTATATAGCCGCCTCATTGTAGTGGTCTCAACATGAGAAAGGAATGTTTCTGCAACCTGCAAGTCTTATTTTTTTCCTGCATATTAGTGTAGAGGCAACTGTGATGCTGTTGCATATTTAGCGTTCAGTATACTCTTTTAGCATACTTATTCAGTGTGTTATGACCGACTACAAGGCCTCAATGGTGGTATACTATTTTTATCGAATCAATTTTTAATGGTCTTCTTTCTTGGTACTGGTATCTGCTACAACCTTATTTTACAATTCTAAAATTACAAGCTGCTTCTGTTACAATTTAGAAACCTTGTAAATTAGTGTTGTACAGTCAGATTAGCTTAGTGATGAGCACGTAGGGACCTATTATTCCGATATTCGTGAAATATCTGTAATCTGTTTACACTAATTACATGCTTTTGATGTCTCATGATGTGTTTGTTTTCTTTCATCTGGGTGTATTTTCATATGCAATTGAATTTTCACATCTACATACAATGTTTAATCAGTTTTTTATGTTGTAAATTTTCAATCATTTACCAATCGTTTATTTATCGTATTCTAAAGTTTAATACTCTTCACAGGATTGGTTAACTTGTATGTTGCATCAACAAAGCTTCACATAATCGTGAACTAAGAACATGTTTAGTTTATTTAAACTCAGTTATTAACACCGTGAGTTGCTCTTCGGGTCATAATTATCATGGGAAATTACCTCGATATCATATGAGTTTTCCATGATAAATATGACCTTTGCACAACATGAAACTGTTCATAAAAATGTACTAGAATAAAATTAAGGATTTTATATGTTATCAATATTTACATTTTGGGCCTTCCTAAATAATAAATATAAAATTTTAATGACCGATTAAATCAATACATTGGATAAAAAAAATTATTGAGAAAAACATGCAAAATAATACAAAGAGATAGTTTTAAAAAGTACTGAAATATGTTTTAAAATCAAAACCACCAGTTTTATATTAAAAGTAAATAAGTTTGATTTATCTTTAAAAATGATATAATATCTATTTATACTGTTTTATAAAATAGAATATACAATTTTTATTCACAATGTAAGAATATTTAGGTCTTATTATTATATTTTTATTAATGAATAAGATGCACAATGATGTAAGAATAATTAGTAATATTTAAATAAAGATATTTTGAGTTTCAAATATCTACGATTAATTATGGTTAACTTATTTTACAAAACTATTTGAAAGTACAAACTTGTGTCTTTTAAAATTTTAAAAATTCTTGAAATGTTTTTGTTACACACATTCTGTTTATATATAAATATATAGTAGCAATAAAAATGTATTTAAAATTAACAACATTCATGTATGGTGTTCATTTACAACACACCAAGTCAACCTTCGTTTTGTCAAAGTATTACTTACAAAGGCTAACAAGACATTTTTCAAAACTATTATATATTATGGACAAGAAAGGGATCTCTCAGGGTTTGAGATGAAATGTATAAAATTATGCATTTCTAATTTTGCACCGCTAGAAATTATGTTGCCTAGTATGTCCTTAATTGCCCTATGCCTCGGAAATTAGAGTTCTTCAAACCTGGCTCTAAATCCGGTACTTGACTCTCACTTTTATATATAGATTTCTTGACAATGTGAGCATCATGCAAACAAGTGCTTCCAGGGAATGGCAGTTTTGCTTCATGTGGAGAAAGCTCATTGTGTTGCTTGATGTTTCCATCGAACGCCGTGGAAACAGCTGATGCAGCAGAAATGCGAACAGCCAGGATGTGAAGTATTTCGGTAGTTTTGTACCTTAAATTGGAGACCCAAACTTTCCAGCTTGTGTCTCAAACGTATACGATAGAATGATCCAGACTGTGAGAGAACTAGTGTGTAGATCTTGTGAACTACTTAGAACCTTTGCATCGGAAATGTATGCAAACCATTGTAAGAATCCTACGTTTTAGAGTTGATCGTTTCTAAGTTCGGAATGATGAATACATGCGCTGCATGTGCCAGTTATTTTGCGTTTCCAAGCCATTCAAGCCTAGCCCATCATTAAGAATGGTGTAGGCTCATTGTGGTTGCTTAGAAGAAATAAGAGTAAAGAGTTTGTGGTCGAAGCAATTGGCGATGTCAAGGAGCTGCAAAATATGAAGAAATCTGCCGTTAATACTTTTGAAGCTATCCCCGACATTGCTTACGACCTATTATGGGCAGCATCGATACTCATACTTGCACCTCTGAGTGTGGTCCGCCGCTGTGTATGAACTTGAGTGAAGATGGGCATCGGTTGTGAGTTGAAGATGGTTCCATATACCAGTCGAGAAAGCTCAGAACTTCGTCAAAGAAGAGAGAGCGTGGATCAAATGACTGAATCAGGAGCTCGAAGAGTTCGAGATGCTAGAACATTGTTTACAAACGAACACCTCATGAGAGAGTTACAAAACACCTAGAAGTATGTGATGAGGAATTAGAATACTAGACCGAGAATGGTCGTGAGCATATGCGACATTCTTCTTATTGAGAATTCTCTGTGGCAGTGCCGATCACATTCCAAATAGGAGTTGACGACCGAGGGTTTCTGAAACAAATTCATGGCATTGTGGCATAGGAATTAACCGAGTTTGCAAAAGCAAAAAAAATAAAAAAACAAAAAAACCTGCTTGATACAATGATGCCGCGCGGGGTGCAACCAAGAGGCTCACCGCTAAACTAAAACTCAGGATAACCAGTTCTAGAAACAGTGAGTCCCAGCTTGTGTGGACTGAGTCACACCCAGTTGAGCTTGAAGAAAATGGGCTACTTCGGAGCGAAGACTTTGGTAGACAGCGGTTCCGTTTGGAGGGCACCGTCGGTGCACGCGATCTAATGCCGTATGAGATCCCAGTAGTGCATCGGCGGCTGCAGGACGGGATGCCGTCGGAGATGGATCCCGATTAAGGATCCCGATTAGTCTAGACGGACAGGACCCTCGGCTCTCACCCGAGCGCCCCCGGTTCGTATCCCGGCCACGGAAGCTGCAGAGCTAGATCCTATTGACCGATATACTGTTTTGCATTTTGTCTTTCAGGTCTGCCCTTGTCATCGTTGCAGTGCTCCCTGGCTAGAATGGAAACAGAAGCCAGGGAGTGACACCCGCAGCTAGAAATAAAAGTGCCCTTCAAATCTTTGAATGGATGACAAAGTTTGGATTAGGGTTAGTTGTGAACAACAAAGTCATTTGCTATAACATTGAATTGAATGAAGAAGTTGGAGGCATTGTACATTTTTATTTTCTTATAAGAACATTGACACAATAACCACCATGAAGTTAGGTTTTGGTAGCCTCTTTGTATGTGCATCTAGAAGAAATTGGAGGTTTTTATTTCTCTTTCTTTTATTTCTTGCATTGAAATGATAAAGTTTTTTTTTAAAGTGCAAGTAGTTTTTAAAATATCATATAGTACACATCCTATCTAATATATATATATATATATATTTTTTTTTTAGAACATAAATTTTACATTTTAGTTTTTATAAATCAATTTATAAAAAATATGTCTTGTATTGTAAAGTTTCTTCGTGTATGCATACTTATTTGATGAATGATTATATGTATTTGACTTTACTGAAGTGAAGGGAATTTTTTTGAAGAGATATGACTAAATCCTTTAAATTATGATTGAGAAGAGGTTATTGTAAAGAATATAATATATATATATATATATTTATATTGATTTCTATTATATAAAACAAGTTACTTGTGGAAAATGATTTGCACATATAAGCATGTGATATAATAAAGAAGAATGCACTAAAATTTAATTGTGGTATATTATTTTGCAAGTAGATTTTAATTTTTTTAATTTTTTTTTTAAAATAATAACTATATTATTTTAACAAAACTTTGTGGAAGGTTTTGAAATATTAATTTTTGTAATTATTAAGCAAATAAAGTAGCATAAGAAATATAAGATAATAGTCTATTTTTTATTATTTTTAGATGATTGTTTTATAGCTTAAAAAAATTTAAATGGTTTTTAATTTTAAACAAAAAATTATCCTTATTAGTTTTTATTTTTTTAAAATTTTATTATTATTATTTTAGATTATTATTTACATAATAGTGCTAAATAATAAGAAAATGCTTTGTGATATAATTGATATTTTATTCGAATTGACAAAGTTGTTTCTTTTAGAGTTGAAAGAATTTAAGTTATTTCTTTTAATATATATTTTCTTTAATCATGTTATGTGTGATTGTATTCTAAAGGCAAAAACATTTGTAACTATCAAGGATATGGACTAGAAAAGATGCATAAACCTAGGAAATTTGTATCAAAAGAAAAGTGACAAAATAGAAATAAAGTAGTATGTATATTAAAAAGAAATTGGAATGGCTATTGCCAAAAGACAAGGAAACTAAAGACTCTTGAATCTAGACTAGAAGCAAGAAAGGAGTTGACAAAAGTGAAGAGGGCTTCACTCTTGTCTCTATATATACTATCTAATTAGGAGCTATGTGATGATGTTCTATAGAACCTCTAATATGTGTTGACTTTGCAAGACACATACCTTGGCTTACAAGATAATTTTTCTATGTGTGTACCATATAATTAGCTTGTTCTTCAAGCTACCAATATATGTGATATATGGTTAATCTGTTGACTACGTTTTTAATCTAAAAAATCAATTATAAACACATGTAAAGTCAAAGCAAAGTCTATGAGGCTTCTAAAAAGCTTTTATAGAAGCTATTATGGAATTAACCTACTTTTATCTATTTTTATCTAATCATATAGATAATTATTGGTTTATATGTATATATCCATGATATTATTTTCTCTTCTAGGAAGAAGTTTTATGAGGAGCAGTCATCATATGTTGAAGAAACCCAAGATGCAACAAATTATATTTGTTACATATTTTGATCTTTGTTCTCTTTGAAGTTAGTTGATAGGACCTCTCAACCATTGATAGTGTCCTATACTCAAGTAAGAAGTCTACCCAGTTATTTAATTGTTGTTGACATCTTCATAACTTCCTTCAAAGAAAACATTTGGAACATTGTCAAAAGTTGTTCCCATATCTAGTAAAATCACCAAACATCGAGAGTCCCTTCCAAGGTTGTGATATCAAACGCATTGTATCTTGCTATTTATTTGAGGAAGAACATATCATTCTTGAGAATCTTCATTTTGATTACATCATCTTGAAGGTTGTGACAATTATAATGTCTCATTTGGCAAGTCAACAAATGAAGGCTCTTGAGTCAAATCCACTTGTTTTTGATTCTCCACCTCTTTAATGTGACAAATACAAAGCCAATATAATATCCTTAGAAAATCCATGATATTGATAGATATTATCAATAAAAAGCTTGGCTACTTCTTCACTTGTGATAGATTTTGTACATGGTACAAAATGTGCCATCTTTGAAAATTGATCTACTATTACAAAT